GACATATTCGCAGCCGCCAATGGTCTCTTATTTTCACCCTTCTTCAGTGGTTTCCACATACGTGTGTCATTACGCACCTTTCACCTACGCCGTCTTCATGCATGCCTACAAAAATAGTCTCCCGGCGATTGAATAATTCCCACGTTTCTTCCTGCTGATGCATGCGGAGTCAAAGCAAGCTCGAGCGCTGACCGTCCGCTCCAAGGTCCCGCCCAATCCGATGTTCTAACCGGCAGTCCGTATGCGTCCGTCCTGATCATCTTCAGCTGAATTGCCGTCCTGGCAGGAAGCCCTGTTTCCCTGTCAGTTGCCACCGGCGTCTGCTCGCTTGCTTCCTCCGCCTTCTCGCCATCAGCTGCTCCGTGGCTATCTGGTTATCTTGACGTTGCTCCGCAAACAGGCACTTAAATAGCGCATGGTCTGGCTTGGAAACAGGTGATTTCGTGGCCAGTAGCACATTCAGGTTGTTTTTTGTTCTGTCATCGCTGCTGAAGTGGTGACCTTAGTTTTCCCATGTTTTTAGTTTTTCTTGGATCTCGGGCTTCGTCTCGCCTCTCACGACAAGGCCACTGAGCGGATATGGCGGGCCGTTGGTGATGGCATGGTCTCGACCGCATCGTGAGATGGTGCCAGTGCCACGCTTCTGCTCTGAGTCACTGAAACCGCCCGGGCAAAATAAACAGCTCACCTCCTGGTGCTAGGCCGAACTTGAAGTCTCTGATTATTTGTCTCGCCCCAGTTGTGTAAGTTCTGCAGAAGCAGCTTAGCTGTCGCGGGCCAGCCATGCTGACGAGCTGTCGTGCGCAGTCTGGCAGCTGCCAACCTCAGGATGGTCGTGTCGCTTGCCTGATCATGATCGGGGTAGTGGCCACAGCGGGAGCTGTCTTGCATATGGTAGGCACACACCGCATCCTTAGGGCAACGCTTCGAATAGGCTGCTGAAACAACAAATGACGTTTTTTGGTATTGGTGCATATGTGTTGCACCATGATCCATTCTGCATATACTCCATGTTCTAGTCCTGGTGCACGAGTCCAGTGTTCCCATACATTGAACTCGCCTGCTCCATTTCATTTTGAATCCCGCCTGCCCCTTTCCTGCTCACGGTTATCGCCTGGTCTCCTCCCATACATCAGTTTCTCGTGTCCTCTTTCAACGCACCGGCACCCTGTGCTCCCTTCCCAGGAAACCGATCCCTTGCGGTCCCCTCCCAGTAAACCGGTCCCTTGCGCTCCCTTCCCAGTAAACCGGTCCCTTGCGCTCCCCGCCCAGTGGACCGGTCCCGTACACTCCCTTTTCCATCGACCGGTCCCGTGTACATTCCTTTCAATAGACCGGTCCCGCTTGCATTTCTTTTGATGGACTAGTTCCGTATGCTTCTTTTGATGGACTGTTTCCGTATGCTTCTTTTGATGGACTTGTTCCGTGTGCTTCTTTTGCTGGACTAGTTCCGTGTGCTTCTTTTGATGGACTAGTTCCGTGTGCTTCTTTTGATGGACTAGTTCCGTGTGCTTCTTTTGACGGACTAGTTCCGTGTGCTTCTTTTCTTCCCTGTGCTCCCCTTTCAAAAGACCGTTTCCGTGTGCCCCCTGTGCAATAGACTGGTCACATGCTCTCTCCCTCCTAAAGATCGGCGCCGTGCCCTTCCCCTCCATGATCTGCCGGTTGCCGGCTGACGCAACGCGTCCAGCAGCTTGGGCAAGCGCTGCTGGCGGCGCCAGGCGGGCTCGGGGTCGAAGGTCGCCCCTGCCGGAGTCTGGCGTGCACGTGCCGTGTGATGAAACCGACCGGCCGGCGGCATCACCCGCGTCACCACGCCGGACGCCGCCCGGCCACGCGCCCTGACGGCCGCTCTCACCCGGCGGCGCTCGTTGCCCCGGTGATTTTATGGGACTCGCAGTCGGGCCGCCGACGCTGCGGTAGCTGAACGGTGTTGGCAGGGGCGGGGAGGGGGACGCTCCGAGCCTGGGACGTGTGATGCGTGATGGGTGTGTGGCATGCAGCAGCGGGCTCCAGACACAGCATAGGCTCCAGCGTGTTGTCTCGTTCGTATCCGGTTGTGACAGCGGGGACTCTGCGCTCGCCGACAGCACCACGTCCCCGCGTCTTCCTCCTTCCCACCTGCGCGATGGCTGCCGACGCACAGCTTCTTCTTCATTCTGCAGGATGCCCTCCGGGCTTTCTACGTTGTTTCTACTTTCTACGTTCGGTGTCGCTGTGATTGGGGCGGCACGGGTCTGGGGCGGCGCATCCAAGGGCTGCACTTTGGCCTGAATATCCGGGAGCACAGGGCACTAGTAGGGCAGGGCCCGCCGTGGACTCTGGGACCTGGACAGCCAGGCCGCCAGAGGGAGACGACGAAACATGTCACCCACAGACCCACAGAATATCAATAAACAACAAAGTTTGTCCATCAAGTGAATCGCCGAGCATCTCTTGCAAGACGGTTTCCATCCGTCACTACTGTTTTTTAATGTATAATTTCATGCGGGCATTCCGGCCCGCACGATATCCTGCTATCGCACGTGGTCTCTCAAAGAGACACGGTTTTTCAAAAAGTTTTCCAGTTTTATCAAGAATGGGGAGCGTGGTGACTTCAGTTGACGTCTAAGCGTCTTCCACAGGCTTCTTGGCCTGGCCTGTACCCGGTCTGATTGTGACGACGCGAACACTCGTGGTCGTGGGGCGTTTTGCTCAGAGTACTCGTGGAGCTTCGCCCACAGAGATTTCTCGTGCTGTGCAAACACTGGATTTTGGTCACGTCCAACAATGCCGACGCAGCGAACTTCGACCTGGCACCCGAGGCGGCAAGTCCGAGGCTGATGACACACCGAACCTGCTCAGTGTCGGTGATGGTGACGTTATCGTGCTGCAAATTCGAAATATGTACGGTGTAGTTCAGTTTATAACCGGCGCTTTGCAGTTGTACCGAGAAGTGACCGCGTACAGCAGGAGCATAGAGAAGTATGTCGCCCCAAGCTGTTTTCAGTGTCAGTGCGTTTTCCTTGTATAGCTGCATGACCCGCAAGAGTAAAGGGTTCCACGCAGGGTGGACGGAAAAAGCCCTCCCGCGCCAGCGTACGTTGTAGGACGTACCCTTTTCATACACCCGGTGTATGAGAAGAAACTCGTCAAAAACGTCGATGCATCTGAAGACTTTGAACTGTGGCGGAGCGCGCGCGGGTGTCGTTCCTGTAGTGCTGTAGTGTCGTTACTGTAATGTTCGAAGTGCTGTTAGTACAGCGTCAGACACGCCGACCGGTGACTGGCTGACATTCACGGGGGGCGGCGCCCCTAGGCTCTGCTCACGTGACTCGTTTGGGACCATTCGTCTGTGACACTCAGTCGGCGCGAGGTCAGGTTAAGGGACTGATTGGTTGACTACGCCTGTATCTTGCGGATACGATTCCATTTTTCGCACTTTTGATGCACGGTACCGTTTAGCTGTATTTTACCCTGCCTCCAGGTCTTATATGCCCCGCGATCTTAGCCGCGGCCACTTTAGCGTTATGGATAAGATCGCCCGCTGCCTTTTCCACAGACGGCTCCACCTGACTCAGCCGGGCACGTGACCCTGACGCCCCCAGTCCCCGGGTCGGTGACCTGGTGTTCAGACGGCACCACCTGACCCAGCCGGACACGTGACCCTGACGCCCCCAGTCCCCGGGTCGGTGACCTGGTGTTCAGACGGCACCACCTGACCTAGCTGGACACATGACCCTGACGCCCCCAGTTCCCGGGTCGGTGATCTGGTGTTCAGACGGCATTGTGTCATTGCAGCTGAAGTGGCCGCTGGGCGAGCCCGACCTGACGGAGCCGGAGCCGGGGGAGCCGCGGGAGCCGCCCGAGCCGCGCACCCAGCGGCACACGGGGCAGGTGTGCGGCAGTCCTAGCCTGCCCAGCCAGGCGGGAGTGGGTGGCGACGAGCCGCCCTACCGGCGACTGGGACAGCGGGAGGCCGACGAACCGCGCCCGGCCGCCGTCAGAGGTCAGTGCTCGTCAGCGAGGTCATTTTCGGTCACCGTCAGAGGTCTGTCCCGGTCATCACTAGAGGTCAGTCCCGGTCACCACCAGAGGTTAGTCCTGTTTACCACCGGAGATTAGTCAGGTCACCGCCGGAATTCAGTTCCGGTTACCGTCAGAGGTCAGTCCCGGTTACCGCTAGAGGTCAGTTCTGGTCACCACTCGAAGTCAGTCCCGGTTATCTCCAGAGTTCAGTCTCGGTCACTACCGTTCTGTTTGATCTAATCTAAACTAAACCGAAGGACATGTCCTGCTTTAACCATGATTCCGAGATGCAAATACTGTCTACGGAGCGCCAGCGACTACGGTAGCCACACTAGCACCCAGGCGTCCTGGCGCGACAGGGAGACGAACCCGGCGCCTCCGTGTGAGAGGTCATGACCACCACACGGTCACCCCCCCCCCCCCCTTGAAGGGACTGCCAATCATGTGTAAACGGAATTTAATAAGTTGCAGCAGTTTGTCGCGGTATTTTGTTTGTGTGTCTGGTCGCGCCACTATGTACTTACATGTGACGCGTGCATCACTATTGGGTGAGCGTTCTCGCGTGCAACAAGGTCATGAACCTCACTTGGCCCTCCCGTGATGCCCCCGGTGTCCATTCCGTGAGCCAGCTGACCCTACTTTGGGCCTTCCCCAACACTTAAAGTGTTCAGGCGACAGTCCTGTGGTCCTTTCGTCGCCCTCCCGTGACCTTCTCGCGTTACCCTTCCGTGACTCTCAGTGATCCTGTCGTGAACCGGTCGTGACGCTGTCGTGAAGCGGCCGTGACCGCCGTGACGGTGCCGTGTGACGCGGCCAGGTGCGCGTGAGCCGGCCGCCGGCCGCATCACGCTCGAGTCTCGGCCGGCGGCGGCCCCCTGGCGGCGGGGCCGGCGCGGGGCTCGGCCGGCGCCGCCCGACGACAGCCCGTCGGCCGCCTCCGGGGAGGAGGTCGGCTCGTCGGCGGACGAAGCCGGCCAGCTGTCCGATGACGACATGGAGCCGGCCGACCGCCTGGCCCGGCTGCAGGTGGGCAGCGGGGCAGCGGCGGGATGGGTCAGGGTAAGGCGGGATGGGCCAGGGTAAGGCGGGATGGGTCTGGGTAAGGCGGGATGGGTCAGGGTGAGGCGGGATGGGTCAGGGTAAGGCGGGATGGGTCTGGGTAAGGCGGGATGGGTCAGGGTAAGGCGGGATGGGTCAGGGTAAGGCGGGATGGGCCAGGGTAAGGCGGGATGGGTCTGGGTAAGGCGGGATGGGTCAGGGTGAGGCGGGATGGGTCAGGGTAAGGCGGGATGGGCCAGGGTAAGGCGGGATGGGTCTGGGTAAGGCGGGATGCGTCAGGGTGAGGCGGGATGGGTCAGGGTAAGGCGGGATGGGCCAGGGTAAGGCGGGATGGGTCTGGTAAGGCGGGATGGGTCAGGGTGAGGCGGGATGGGTCAGGGTAAGGCGGGATGGGCCAGGGTAAGGCGGTATGGGTCTGGGTAAGGCGGGATGGGTCAGGGTGAGGCGGGATGGGCCAGGGTAAGGCGGGATGGGTCTGGGTAAGGCGGGATGGGTCAGGGGTGAGGCGGGATGGGTCAGGGTAAGGCGGGATGGGCCAGGATAAGGCGGGATGGGTCTGGTAAGGCGGATGGGCAGGGTGAGGCGGGATGGGTCAGGGTAAGGCGGGATGGGCCAGGGTAAGGCGGGATGGGTCTGGGTAAGGCGGGATGGGTCAGGGTAAGGCGGGATGGGTCAGGGTAAGGCGGGATGGGCCAGGGTAAGGCGGGATGGGGCTGGGTAAGGCGGGATGGGTCAGGGTGAGGCGGAATGGGTCAGGGTAACGCGGGATGGGCCAGGGTAAGGCGGGATGGGTCTGGGTAAGGCGGGATGGGTCAGGGTGAGGCGGGATGGGCCAGGGTAAGGCGGGATGGGTCTGGGTAAGGCGGGATGGGTCAGGGTGAGGCGGGATGGGTCAGGGTAGGCGGGATGGGCCAGGGTAAGGCGGGATGGGTCTGGGTAAGGCGGGATGGGTCAGGGTGAGGCGGGATGGGTCAGGGTAAGGCGGGATGGGCCAGGATAAGGCGGGATGGGTCTGGGTAAGGCGGGATGGGTCAGGGTGAGGCGGGATGGGTCAGGGTAAGGCGGGATGGGTCAGGGCGGGGCGGGATGAGTCAGGGCGGGGAGGGGCGGGGCGGGGACAGCGACAGGTGGGAGGTCGCTTGGGATACTTTCTCAGTTTTGCCTTGTTCCGGTGTGCTTGCTCTGAGCTGTTTTCCTTTTGGAGGTCGTAGACAAAGATGAAAGAGGTGTGATGCATATGTGATGATGCATATGATCACGTAAATATGATGATTATGTTGATATAATGCAAAACAAAGCTATGTAATGTTGGAGTTTCAGAATAAACATGCTAATCTCAAGTACAACATTACACGTTAACACATACTATGGATGTAAAAACAGCATGAACATTCGGCTAACGTGAATCACAATGATATAATTATAATAGAATGTGAAAGGAAGCAGTAGACATTTGCAATCAGCATGAATAGACATGGCGTTGCCAGCCGACAAACCTGGTCTCTCCAGCTGGCTGGGGATGCCTGTGTTACCTGTTCGGCATGTTCGTGAATTTCTGACGCGTCCTCGCAGCATCCCTCTTGGTTACTCATTGTGGCTCCGGTTCCCGGCGCGTGGTCTCGGCTCGTCGCACACGGCACAGCGGCAGAGCTGGAGATACACGCGGCCTAGTTAGTGCTCCTGGTCTCTCTGGTCGTCCTTGGGACGGCTTGTTGCTAGCTGAACAATAGCAAATCCTTGAAAACATCGGACTATCGACCATCCTGTTTGTCAGCAGGCTTATGAGCAACTCTGACAAGTGTGTTATTCAAACGTCCTTCGAACCATTCTCCCTCGGCCTCGGGTGAGAATGGCTGATTTCATCTGATGCGGATCGAGCTTCCTCCGGGCGCTGTGTTCAGTCCAGATGTATGTGTCACCGTATGGTGTGTGGCCTTGGGTCAGTGTAGTCTCCTCCTGCTTCCTCCCAGCGAGGACTCTGACGAGGAAATTCACCGAGCGATCTCATCCCGCGTGGGCAGGACGCCTTCTCTGTGCGCCGATGCTGGTGTTGCTCCATTGTCATGGATTGGCTGGCTCTACGTCATCGTGGTCTCTAACAAACTTATGGGCAACCATTACGCAATGGGCAGCGTAACCTTTTCCTAAACGCTTGCTCGCCGCGTTCATCACCATCGTCGAAATGCCCTGATTGGCCTCAAGCATGCAAACGCCAGTGACCTTGTGCGCCCGTGAGGGTCACGCCGTTGCAGGCGTCCCGCTACGGGGCCCCCTCCGTCAGGCCAGCCCCGGTCGGCGCCTCCCGGTTGCCAGCCGGCCGCAGCGCTGTGTCGGCCGTCAATGTTGTTTGCCGCCCGGCCGGGGCGGTATTGGAGGTCTCGATGGCGCCGAGTTTTTGCCACGTGGAGGCAAAGTCGAACATCGAACCGCGCAGATGGTCCACTTTCAATGCCGCGGACTCGAGATGCTTCCGTGCTCGGTGGTTAATTGATTGATGCGTGTTGTTGTCGTCGCGTCATTTAGCGGTCCAGCCGCTGTGAGCCACTCCGTGAGGAAGGCCTTGATAAGGGCGCGTGTTCTCATGTTGCGCCGCGCAGAACACACGAGAGCTGTCGCGATGCGCTGCCGAGAGACGCGTTGCGCCGTTAAACGCGCCCTGAGCTGCATAGTGTCTCTTGATGCTCGGTTCCCCAGCCGCAGTCGCAGAGACACTCGCCGTAACGGACAGTGTGCGCACGCGCCGAGGCTGTGCCGCCGAGGATGTGTAGTGAGTCACAGCATTAAGCTGTGTTCGGGTGCAGTGTGACGGCGACTTGATTGAGCCAGGTCAGGTTCACCAAGGGCCTGGGCCAGGCGAGGTTCACAAGGACCTGGCTCCATCCAGCGGATTGCTGTTGCTCCGCGGCGATGTGTGTGCTGGGCGTGCCGCTCCCTCTGACCTGACCCGACCTGACGTCACCTGACCTGACTCGACATCAGCGGGTTCGTCGTTAACCAGTAGTGGTTTGTTTGCGTGCGTGCCGTCTGACCCGACTTGACCTGCTGTGATCCGCCCTGACCTGACCTGAACCGCCCTGACCTGACCTGAACCGTTCTAATCTGACCTGACATGGCCGCAGCGGATCAACGCGACCCTGGAGAGCAACCTGTCATCGGTGCAGGACATGCTGTCGTCGTCCAGGGCCGACCGGGACGAGCTGAGCCTCAAGTACAGCGCCGTCAGCGAGCGGGTAAGGGCAGGCGCCGGCCGCCGGGCGGAGGGCACCCGGGTCAGGTGAGGGGGGGGGGGGGGCGGAGGCTGCTGCCGGGCGAGCGTCCGCGGGGGGAGGGGGTACAGGATGTCTCGGGACGCAGTCCGGGTAGCAGGTGGTGGGAGGAGACGAACATCGGACATGAAGTGCTCTGTATAGAAAAAAAACGACCGTAAATGGACGATTTTATCGTGAACAGAGCCTGAACGGCCACCGTGCCCTAGTGCCGGGAGATAGCCGGGCTTTAGTCCACGGCTCGCTCGGAGGTAATGCGCTTGTGAGGGCAGCTCTGGCGTTGGTCTTCATTTGGCGACTGCGATTAGGATGTGGGGATTAAAGTTTGTGACGGCCACGAACGAAATTCGTCTCAGCGGGCCTAGATAGCGCAAAATATATTGCACAAAAGTCGTGCGGAAAGCGCATTAACACGTCCTTGGTATAGATGTGTTAGGTATGATCCCAGCGTATCTCCCAGTACGACCTGACCCCTGTGACCTGCGGCCTTCGTGCCCGGCGGTTTGCTGGGGGCCATGCGACCTGTGCGGGTCACGCGACGTGCACACGTGACCCAGGCACTGGTTGACCACATAGTGGTCAGGGTGGTGGTTGAACCGGATGGTGTTGTGATTAGTGTCTAGCCGTGATCAGTCAGGGACTGCGACCTGGTTCAGGTACATCCGACTGAGAACACGTAACAGGGGCTATTTCACTCCTACATGGGAGCAAGGATTTAAGGCTGGATTGGTGTCCTCACGTGACATATGGCGACGCCCATACCAACGCGTGCAAAGACGCCGCAAGGTCTGGACCAGCAAATAAACTTTCATCATCGAGCGGAGCGAGCGGGCTGCGCGGTCCTGTGGAATGGCGTCATCTAGCCAGCCCATCATGTTCCAAACGGGTGGCGTCTGGTCGCGAGGCCGTCAGTATCTCCCCGCCGCAGACCGCTTCGTCAGAGGTGTGCGGCTGGGCTCGCATCCCAACAGGTCGGCCACCGTGGGGGTCTTTTGAGCATTTTATGTGTTGCGAAAATGCCCCGTCTTTGCCAGATACCCCGGCATTAACGAGGTCTTTATCGCCCCTCAGAGCTCTTGTAAAGTTTTTTCAGTGTATGATGATTCAGTATAAGCTGTAAATAAGCCGTGCCTTGCTTAATGTTTGTCGACACAATGCTCACCACGAGTCGCAGGGAATCCCTACCCTGTCAAGGTATTCTATTTTTTGAAATAAATATGGATGTATTACGTTATGTGTGAATGTCTGGTAGAAATCGTATTTGTTTTTCAGCTAAAAGCCAACATAAAGTGCTCTAAATCCGATAAGTTTGGATTTGGTGGCGGAGAAGGGAATCCATAGTTCGGACCCACCATGTCGGGAGAATTTTGCTACCACTCAAAGTTCCTTAAAGGCGCCCTGGAGCCGCCTTCCAGGCTTGGCTGCAGTCGCTGTGCGTGAACACGCGTCTCTGGTGCGCAGCAGTTGAGGGCGCCTGCACCCACGCACACGCCAAAGTTCACACGCACGGCAGGCCGCGGCGGCCCAGTCCGGTCAGTGGGTCAGCTGACATCGCGACCGGGCGCCGCACGATGTAGGCTGGGTCACACACGGCCGTAACGCGACGCAGGGCGCGACCTGTCGCCACGGCCCGCGGCGATCCGGCCCGGTTCGGTCCGGTCAGGGGGTCAGCTGGCATCCCCACTGAGCGCACCGCACGTCGTCGGCTGGAACACACGGCTGGAGCACGACACGGGGCGCGATCTGCCACCAGGGCTCACGGCGACCCGGCTCGACCCGGTTCGGCCAGGGGGTCAGCTGGCATCTCCACTGAGCGCACCGCACGATGCAGGCTGGCCCACACAGCCAGAGCACGACATGGAGCGCGGTCTGCCACTCGGGGCCGCGGTGTGCTCAGGCCCGTGTTATCTGGGAACTTCGGTCCGGATAGAGGAGCCACGATCTGGTGCGCGGCGTGTTAATGTAAACGGCGGCGGCTCGGTCAGCGGCTCCCGCGCGCCCGCGTCACGGGCCCTTCGGCCGTGTCACCGGCTGTATCTGGGTGTCCTTGGCTGTCGGGACACTAATGAATCCGTACGCACACCGCGTGTGGTTGGGCGGGCGGTCTGTGTAAAGTGCACGGAGGCGCGGCCAGCCCGCCGGGGGCTTATCTGGGAGTTTGTGGTGCGCCGAACACCGCCTGGCCTATCTCAGGGCCCGTTTCCGAGGATCCGTGATGGATTGCGGTGTTGTTGCGTCTGTCGGCCGTGATTGTCCTTCTGTCACGCGTGGCCTGCGCCTTTGGCTGGTATCGAGACGTGTCTCAATCCGTTGCTCAAACAAATGGACAGCTGTCTAAAATTGGATGCTGGCAATAAAGAATGTTGATGTATAGCTCACCTCCCGGAGAAGCGACAGCCGGTGCCACGTGTATATGTAGGCATAGTGGGTCCTCTCACTTCGTTTACGGCTCGTAACTTAGGCTTAAGGGGTTTCAGGCTGTTTCAGGACTTCTTTGTATACCTTTCAATGTACACCAAAACAGGATACGATTAGTATTAGTAACACTATTAAAGGGAGTGTTTCACATTGGTATAGGGGGGGGGGGGGGGTTGGAACTGAAATATCTATTTTGAAGATCATTCAGTGCGGTTTATAGCCCTGTCATTCTAAAGGCCTAAACCCATGTAGTTTCTGAGCCACACGCCCGCGAAGATGTGCATATTTTTCGGGGAAACTATTTTGAGGTCAGCGAGACTTCCGTGGCGCCATAGTAACGCCATTAACATTCCGCCATTACGATAGCCATTCGGCGGTCAAGGCCAATAACAATATAATTGTCGAGTCGTTCATGTCCAACGTTCGTGATTACGATTTCCAGATATAAGGGCTGTCAATTGGTTCTCAATCAATGTCGTGCAAGGTACGATCACGTAATCCAACAGTGACGTGTTGGAGAGTATATTTACTCGACAAAGAAATTGTGTTGCCCAAAGCAGCCTTCTCCACTTAAAAGGATACCAATAGATATAAGCGAGGTTATTTCACCATGGAAAACAACTGCCAAAACATTGTAATTGATCTCCGCACTTAGTAAGGGTGGGACTTTCCAAAAAGGTGCATCATTTTTAATTTGTGGTGACGGAACCGCGCAGGCGAACAAAAAGGAGAATCCTCAGGAATCAAGCGACGGAGTCCAGTATGACACCAAACGACTTCGATGGTCTAATGGCAAGGGCATCCGGCTACCAATCATAAGAATAGTTGGAAGCTTGGTTCTGTCATAAACCTTCGAGTACACCACGCGTCCTTGGCTAAGCGTCAAGCATGCAGTCAGACGTGAAACTCAGGTTCGTCTCAGGGAAAATCAACTATCATGTGATCGCGGTGCAAAATCTGACGGGCCAAAACGTGACATGTGCAAGTCCAAACCATTGACGGGGAAAATAGCCAGAACAATTGTTCCGTCTGTACTGACGCCCGTCACAAGCACTTTGTGATAGGAACAAAATTGTGATGCCAAACGGCCTTTGAGCACCAGCTATTAGCCGGAATTACTAGCATGCAGCCAACTACATTACCGTACTCTAGTTGCGAACCGGGTGTGTGAGGCTGGCCTCCGTAGGGTCCATACTGAGGGCAAGACATTGCTAAGTATTGCGGCGTAACAGACCGGCTGCCGGCAAAAGAATGGATACACGGATCGGGAAATCCGTTCAGTCCCGGCGTACTTAACGTCAAAATAACATCGCCTGATCGATCCATTTCATGTGTTTGGGGGAAAGGGAAGCAAAACGTGTCCCCGTAAGTTTTATAAATGCTTCCATGGTAAAGAAACTCATGCGTGTGTTTTCCAAGCTCAGGTTTAAGTGCGAACATTGCGTTCTTTGAAAAAGTTATCTGACATCGCAAATGTGTGGATAATTGAGCCTTAAAGTTGTGGGCACAAGGGGAACGTGCTCGTGAAAACGCCCGAGCAGTACGCGGCATCGATCACAGATGCGTAAGTCGTGGTTATGTACGTACGTGTTCTGGCTTCCTTTAAGAAGAGCGTAGTTACTTTAACGCATTTTGACAATCTTTGTCAGAAAAAAAACACACACACATACGGGTGTTTGTGCTTCTAGATAAACAAGAGCCTTGCATGCGCGCTTGGCTGCAATCCTGACATATAGCTTACGTCACAAATGCTGCCATGCTGAATGAGCTGCGATGGGAGGCGTGGGCAGGAGCTCACCATGTGTGATTTTATCATACGATCAAAGTCTACTGGTGTCGACATGATCATTTTAGAAAACAACGACAATGAGATAACGTTTTTGCTGCTGTTGGTCAAAGATTTCGGTTGAGTTTCCCCAGCAGTATGTGACCGGTGCGTGAAGTACAGGCGTGTATAAGGGCTACCTGTCCTTGGTGTCTCCGGCCGCCCCTCGTTCACGGATCCCCACCGTTACGTCACGCACCTATGTGACTTCGCTCTGCCATCGCCAAGGTGAGGGTCTGAGGACTGGACCAACGCTTCTGACCATGGCCATCATGAGCCGTATGTGACGCTACTCTACCGTGGGATCCTAATATGTTACAGCGTTGTATAGGCAGAAAAGCCCAAACCTAGAATGCTTCCTGCCCCGCCACCCTGCTCATTGCAGCAAGTTCGCCTGTCTCACCAGTCGCTCGTGGTGTTCCAGCTGGACGAGCTGATGCAGGCTGCGGGCGACGGCGCCTCGGTGGGCTACACGCCGAGCCTCGCCCGTGACCTGGGCTCACCGCGGGGTCAGCTGGGCCGCGCCCTCGCCAGCGGACAGCCGGTGGGTCAGAGTCGCCCCGTCGTTCCTCTCGTGGCTCTGCCGGGGTCCAGAGGGAGGAGATTCGGCAGTACGGGCCGTGCTCATCAGTCGCGGTCGTCAGTTGTGGCTCAGCCGTGCCGAGTCTCGCCACCATCAGCGCTCTCGCCTACGCATCACGGTCTTGTTTCCATCGGGAGTAAGCCGTGTCGCGGGACGCGGCCTGTCGTCTGAGATCGAACTCGCCAAGAGTTTGGCGGAAACTGATTCTGTGGTTCAGACTTTTGGTGCCGTTGAGATGTGTGCGGAATGTTTTTGGTTATTTACCGAATTTTGCGAACGGTGTTTACAGCGCGAGTACATGATAGGAGAGGCGAAAACGAGCCTCATGTCTCGTGTGCTGTGTTTGTCGGCCGTGAAGACTGGCCGCATCTGTTGGACGCCATATGGCCGTGCACAGGCGGTCCGGCCCGGCCGGACCCGACCCATCGGCAGCTTTCATGCAGCGTTGCTAGGCAATGCAGAGGCGTCCGGCCGGTAACTGTTTAGGGACGCAACCGACTCGGGGGCCAGCAGGACAGACAAGCTGCGCTCACGAAACCGTTCTGTAAAGACCGCGCGGAGAGCATGGGCAAGGCTTTCGCTTGCTCGGCCGGAATGTTCTCCAAGAATGGCTGTCCTCTAAAGAAGGTTTCGATTCCGCCATACTGGAGAGGACGCGCCATTGAACCGGACAGGCCAGCAGTGCCGAACAGCAGGCGACAGGCTTTTGCATCACAGTTCGCGCCTGAAATGTCTGCGGTGTGCATGAGGCTGAGAACACCAAGGCTCTCAAATCAGCTGCGAAAACCGAGGGCCGACGTGCATGACACATTCCCTGCGTGCTGATTTTCCCGTGATTCAGGCCTGAGCGTGACGCACAGGCTTTTGCCGCAGCGGCCTGGCTGCGAGCCTAATCGGTACGTCTCACGCAACGCTGTCAGTGGAGAGGTAAACTCACCGCTGTGTACACACACACACACACTCAGCTTTTCCGCGTACTTCTGACCCAGCGGGAGTGACGCAGCGTTTTCGACGCAGCAGTAGGGGCCGACGATTGACCGGTGTACGGGCTACCGACATTTCCGAAGACGCCGCTATCGAGGTGGCTGGTCACGATGTCCGCGGAATGCTGATAGCCGGTGGACCCTGGCTCCCGACACCTCGTCGGTGCCTGGCTTGCGCGGGCCGGCTGGCGCTCCGGGCAGGCGTGGCAGCCGCCCTCCGGTACAGCCCGGGCTCCCGCTGCAGACGCGACAGCTCCGGCGACCTCTGCACCCAGGGTCAGACGCGCAGCGAGCACACACTGGACGGAGAGGGGCTCGATGGTGCGGTCAGTCGTTCGCAGTTACGGAAGGGAGAGCTGGACAGACCGGGCCAGGGCCGGTAGGGCGGGCTGATGAAGGGGAAAGCGAGCAATGTCGTCATGAAGACTATAGATGACGTGGGGGAAGGTTTTGAACCCAGGTCAACCCATGCTTCTGAGTTGTGACGGGTCGAACTGGATCATACTCTGAGAAGTTAGTGCCTCGGTGCCTTCAGCGCCTTCATCCCCCGTAATTGCAACAGGTCAGGAGAAACTCATACAGCGGCGTTACCAACAGTGCTGCTTTCCGGAAGTGTTATGAAAGTGATTGTACTGACCTCAGGCCAGCCCATCTCTGCATTTTTTCTCGTATGCTGTTCACAAAAATCATATCTGTGAAACTTGTTTGGCTGGAAATGGCAAGAACATGTCAGAGATGCCTTGGAGGTTTAACTGTCCTGCAAGCTGTACCTTAGGTCAGGTCAAATATGGCATTTATTCGTAACATTGTCCTGAACAGGACGCCATTATTCGTGGTGTAACAGCTGACCTTGTTTGACATGAATATCATCGTCACAAATCAAATGAAACAGCGATCTTTTTCAGCTTCTGAAGATCGCAGGTAATCAGGGCTGTACCGTGGTCAGTACGCAATAAGTGTGCTCCTTGGAGTCCGAGTGACCCTGATTGACCTAACATGAGAGATTGCCGTATCCATATTGTCTCGGTGCGGTCGGAAAGCAGATGAACGAAAGCTTCAGTAGAAAACCTACAGCGCATCGCTGACATTTTTTCATCCTTACAAGCTATCTGATCTTTGAATCTAGCAACGGGCCGGACTAATGTAACCTAACCCGATTTGTATGTTGAACTGTTCTGAAATGAACTCGTTGCATTATTTGTCCGGGCTGCGGCAGCATCTCAACAAGTGTTATGACCCGCGCGTTCCTGATGATAAATGCTAGGAATCTCATGTATTATAACGTCTTTCGACTCAACTATTGGCATACAGTTAACAACAAAGCTTGATTGACAGTCTACGTTTGGATAACTTTTGAAATCGTACTGTGGTGCGATCGATCCAGTGGCATTATGTCCAATTCAGGAGCGCCCTGACCTGGCATGGAAGATTCCATTTGAAGGATTTAAGGACACGGATTTAGGGCCCACTCGTGCCCTAAAACCTCAAATCACCTCCATCGTCGGCTGGTCAGGCGCAGGTTAAGCGTGCGGTGTTGGGAAATGGGCCGACGTGACGTCATTGGCTCTTGTGACGACTAGGGCGCCAGACGAGTAAACCACGCATCAACTGACGTTTTTTCGGCTAAGTTGATCTTAGCTGCCGTACTAATCCTTCACACCGAAGTCAGATCATTAGGCGTCTATAATCTTCATCAGTCTTGGGGGTTTTACGACGCCTCAGCAACCGAGACAACATGGCGTTGCCTGCCCCCCACCGGGGCAGGAAGAGCGGGCACCGCGGGAATCGAACCCGGTCCCTCCGGTTTCCCAGACGCGCAGACGCGGCGCGCTTAACCACTGCGCCACCGACACCCTCGTCCGCGGCAGACCTCCGAACCCGTCAACAGCAGGCAGTAGCATGCCATGTGAACTGTGTGGCTCTCATCTATAGAGAGATGGTGTCCATATTTGTCAAGCTGCGTTTCCCCTGCAACGTTGTTCCAAAACGCAAGTGTCGTTCTGCAATATTGAACTGCATAGTTGGGTGTGGCTAGCAATACACATACAGCTCCCCGGAGTATCGATGACCTTGAAGCTGTCGTTGCTCTTAAATATGACGTTTTAGGCCAGCTACCTTGAACTTCATGGGTATAAAAACATTCCGTTTGAAGGAAAACATTTACTTCTGTGAAGGCCATTGCCGATTGCACGTGTCGCGGCGCTCACGCAGCAACGCGCAGCTGATGGAGCCGGCCGGAACGAAACCAGACAGGTTTGTCCCATGTCATGAAGACATGTTTAGCTTGGACATGTTTAGTGAACGTTTGTCTGATAAACACACATGGGTGATACTTTACAACACCACGATCAAGGTCATTGGTATCGGTTTGAAAGGCGTCTGGCCTTATGATTTCATTTTTGGGCGTTATTCGGCTGCATGGTAACTGACAAAAAATCGGGCCACATGATAGCTGACAACCCCGCAATTGTCACCTCCTCGTTCGTCCCTCGCAGTGCATGATGTCTTATCAGCTGTTGTCACGTTACACTGGAATGCGTATCAATATTGTATCTACGGCAGTGTTGAGCCGTGTTTGACTTCAGAGCACAGCTCAGTTCGGGTTTGGGGGCGTGCAAATTGTTGCCGCGTGTGTCTTCTGCCAGCCGTTGACCTGCTGAAATTGGCTGCAAAAAATATTTCAGTCGGGTGCTTTTAATTCTGACACCCTCTTGAATCCCAACTTTAAGATTCGCCTTCGTTTCATATGTTGGGTCGGGCGTGTTCTCAGCCGGAATCGCTCTGCACCACACGTTAGCTGATCTTCATGACACGCCATCTGGCATCTCATTAGTTTCAGAATCGAATGCCGATCCGTACGGTGACGCGTCTGCGCGGGCGTGCAGACACACGGGCGGTTCAGGCAGACACACCAGGCTGCACGGTCGCGGCCGCCCTGTGACAATGTGGCGTGTGCGGCGCGTCTCCGACCGTTCGGTCCAGCCGTGTGACGCCGCGTGTCGCCCGCGGCAGGCCGGGGCCGGTGGTGGCGGTGTGCTGGAGCTGGAGAACACCTCCCTGCGCCGCCGAGTGGAGGCGTACCAGCAGGCCCAACGGCAGCAGGCGCAGGTCATCACCACCCTGCATGACAAGGTTAGCGACGCGGGGCATCAGCAGACTGCAGGTCAAGGTCGGTAACGCGGGGGGCAGGCCAGGGATGGCCGTCGCCCCCCCCCCCCCGTCGCTCACCAGGGCCCCTGTTGCCGAGCGGTGAGCAGGGAGGAGCGAGCTGTCCACCCCGCTGGAGGCCACGCTGGTGGGCCCGGTCAGGGCGACGGCTAGCGTGAGCTGGGTAGCTGTTGACCGGTGACGGCGGCGCCGGGCCGGGGCGGCGCCGAGGCAGCCGCGGACAGGCCGGATCAGTCACGCCGTCCCGCTCTCGTTCGCGATCGGTCTTCCAAACGCAAACAGTGAGGCCGGATGGGGCTGTGGAGCAGTTGTTGCGGTCCGGACCGGCCGCCTGGCTTGCTCCCCGCTCGTGAGCCTCCGCCGGCGGCGTCCGACCCTGGCACGTGGCGTTACGCGGCGCGGCGCGGCGCGGTGGACTGGCGCGAGCTGGTGCTGCGGTGAGCACCGCTGTGACGACCGGCGGCGCTGGTGGCGCCGGGGTCGGCCGGCGCCGGGAGACGGGACACACGGGGCCGAGCGCCGCAGGGGGACGGGCTGTCTCTCGGCTAACACGCGCCGGGGACGGGACACACGGGCCCGAGCGCTGCAGGGGGACGTGCTGTCTCTCGGGCTAACGCGCGCCGGGGGTCGGCCGGCGCCGGGAGACGGAACACCCGGGCCCGAGTTCCGCAGGGGGGCGTGCTTTCTCTCGGGCTAACACGCGCCGGGGACGGGACACACGGGCCCGAGCGTCGCAGCGAGACGCGCTCTGTCTGTCGGGCTAACATACGCTAAGCTGACTAGAACTGGACTCAGCTGATAGGTATTCTTGCAGAAAATTGTCCTGCTTGATGTGCTTTTCAGCATCCCACTACGCCTCTGGTTTGTGAGTTGAACCTCGATGCTTGATGGTGACTGTAAGTGTTGTCGATTGTAACCCGCCTTGTTTATCGTCAATGGTAAGTAACGCGAGCTTATCGTGCACATGAGCCGCATGACTCATCGCAAATATCGCGCGGATGCAATCTTCACGTATAGGCTCTTCTGCTCGGCCGTCGCGTTTCCTGGGACGAAAGCACTGCTCCGTTGCACTTGACGGTGTTGCCGGCGGTTTGCAACAGCGCTGACGGTGTGGGCTGCGCAATGTACGCGGTTTTGTTGACGGCCGTTTAAGTCCTTGATCTGTTCGGCGTATCGGACGTGTTGACTCAGTTACCTTCTATTGATACTGGGTGTATCAGGAGGCGAAGGTCCACCCAGCTTCTCAGGTAGGCGATATGTTTACCGTTACAGAGATTTCTTCGCACGTAGGTATTTTTATTTCAGCTAGTTCTCCGCACGTGGCACTTCGCACAGTTATTGTGACGCGCAGTTATATGTCGCACCCTTACCGGCACAATCCATGCTGGATGGTTCACAAGATAAATGGCGCTTTGCGTTTTGCCACCAGTCCAGACCCAGCCAGCGTTACACGAATGGAAACGGTAAGTGGTGCTGCGTGCAGATGAGTTTCCCCGGCCTCCCGCCGCGTCTGTGTTAACGGCATCACACTCGTCGGGTGGAGCAGGTGCGTGGTTTTGCATTAGCCTGAGCTGGTACAGATACAGTTCGGCACGTGTGTACCCGCTTGCGTTGGTGCAACGACGTAGTTCATCGTCTACGCACGCACGTGTCTGCGTATTTGTGCGTACTGCGCGCGTGCATCGGTGCAGACGGGTACAGCTGCCCAAGCCTGCGCTCGCGCCGCGCGTGGGCACACGCGCCAGGTGTTGCCACCATGTAGCGGTTGTGGCGCCGGCCGTCGGCCGTCGGCGGATCTGACGCTGAGCTGTGGCCCAGCGGCGGGGATTGGAGAGGCGTGGTGCGCCGAACCGCGCCAGCGCCGGTGTCAGTGTCAACCGGGGTCAGTGTCACTCGGGGTCAGTATCAGCTGGGACAGTGTCAGCCAGGGTCAGTGTCAGCCGGTGTTACTGTCGACTTGGGTCAGCGGCAGCCGGGGACACTGTCAGGTGGGGTCAGTGTCAGGCGGGATCATTGTCAGCCGGGGTCAGTGTCAGCTGAAGTCAGTGTCAGCCGAAGTCAAGTGGCACGGGTGGCAGAGCTGATGGGAAGGGCATGACACTCGTCGCGGATTACGATACCGCGCTCGTTTAGGGCCTGCGGCGTCCAAAGGTCAGACTGAATAGTTGTCGGAACCAGTGCGCTGTGGGAGTGCCGCGCTCCCGCGATCTTCGTTCTCTTCTTACAGTGACATTCAAAGGTGTGGACATAGGTTAACAGGACTTTTCGGGTCTTGATGCGGGATATGCTGAGATCGGTATCTGCACGATGGATTTGTTTGGTAAGCTCATGGGACTATATGGTGATATTGTTGGTCCGCTGAACCTGACGGGGGCACGGTGGCGCATTCAGGCACATATGGTGATCGAACCATTTAGCTTTTATGAACGTATCCTTTTGCTAAGGATTTCTTACAGTTAAGCGCACTCATGGAAACCAAAACCAAATGAATTACGTGGTACGTTTCTTCTGGCACTTTGTGCACTAAACAAAGAAACAGATGAATGTGCTTTTAGGTAACTAAAATGTAATTAGATAATTCTAATCATGTATTTGTATTGCCTTTCTTAATATTGTTCCTTCCCTACAGCTGAAATGAGCGACAAGAAATCAATCCTTAAATTTCACGTCACCCATAGAAGCAAATTTCTCAAGGTTGGGAAAGGTCGCTCGTTTAGAGTGTAGCTCAAAGTAATCTGCATAGCCAGTGACGCAATATTTGACCGAACAGAATGCCTCTGTGCATACACTACAGAACCGGGCTTAGCAACGTTAACACGGGACATTTCCCAGGCGTGTGCACGCGTATCCCAGCGTGCGTAGCCACACCATAGACGTTTGCTGTGTAGCGACCCTAAGGACGGTTGCTGTGTGGCGACACCATAGGCGGTTGCTGTATCCTGAGCTGGCTGGCCGCTGTTCACTGCTGGGCTGGCGTGGTGACACAGCTCACCGTGATGACCCGGTGAGCGGTCATGCGTGGGGGATCGCCCTGTCGTTATTCTGGTGAGGATTTGAGAGGCCAGACGACGGCAAGCAGGTGCCGGGCTGTTCGTCGTCGGGGATCGTTACGACAGTGCCGGGCGGCGTGGCTTCGCGGACAGTGGACAGTGCCGAACAGTGCGTCGCTGGGGATCGGTACGACAGCGCCGAGCCGCGCGGCTTCGCGGCAGTGGACAGTGCCAAACAGTGCGCCGTCGGGGATCGGTACGACAGAGCCAGACGGCGCGGCTTCGCGGACAGTGGACAGTGCCGAACAGTGCGTCGCTGGGGATCGGTGCGACAGTGCCGGGCCGCGCGGCTTCGGGGACAGTGGACAGTGCCGAACAGTGCGCCGCTACGGACGATGTCGAATAGTGAACACCCTTCCAGCGTGGTGAGGACCGAGCTGATCAGACAGGCTGTTGCCAGCGGGCAGCACGTGACAGTGCTGATGCGGGCAGCTTGAGACGCTGTTGTAAGGTGGTTGGAAGAGCTGTTTACGCGGCGAAACGGCTTTTTATGCGGGTGTAATATTTGTTTGGGTGCTCCAGCTGTAAAAAAATGGTATGGTTCTTGACGATACGGTTAGATGATGCTGGACTGTGATATGCTCGAAAAGATGGGTTCCGGCGGGAATCGGACAGTTATCTCCTCCAAAGATTGCACACGCATTCCACAGAGCTGGAGTATGGAAGGGCATATGTTACAAGAATCTATCTAACATGACCTTGATGATACCGAAAACTTTCATGATCAGTTGGCTATATACCCCATCCCAACGCAAAGCAACTGTTTGACATTTAGCAACAACACACCATGCCTCATCGGCACTGCCATTCTCAGCCCCTTTCTCTGCTATGCCCGTCAAACTTTCCGGACTCATCCTGTCTAGATATTTTGAATTTCACCAGTGTTTCAACGACGTTGTTGGTAAGCGTGACTACGCACTTCGCCGACGATGCCTTCTAGCATCCAAGCTACATCGTTAGCGGACAAAAGGTACATGACATACATGGGACCATGCTTTGTCTGAGGAGTGAATGTCGCAGCATTATGGCATTGTTTAGGACGGCACCTAACATCGCAGTGCGAACAATGACTGGGGATGCCGCGGAGCAGCCCAGCCAATATCGTTACTGCAGTACCGTGCATTGAGTCAAACAGCTGACACATGAGCTTGGTGCTGGCTTAAAGGCAGTGTTCCGCATCTTTGTGGGTTTTGGAAATGAAAGAACCATCTTGAAGATCATTTGGTGATATTCACAGTCCTGCCCATCTTAAGACCTAAACCTTTCTAGTTTTTGAGCTTCATGCCCGCGAAGATGTGCAGACTATTCCGAGGAGACTATTTTAAGGTCACCCAGGCGTCCTTGACGCCATAACGATGTCATTCAAATTTTGCCATTTCAGTGGCCATGCTGTGATCAAGGCCAAGAAAAATATGATTGCCGAATCGTTCATATCTGGCGTTCGTGAGTACGATTTCCACATAAAATGACCGTCAATTTGTTACCAATCAATGTTGCGCAAGGTACGATGACATAATCAAAAAATGGCACATTGAGGGGCTAGTTAGTAATTTCCAATTCCACATAACTTGTGTTGTCTAGAGCAGCCTTTTCCACTTAAAATGGTACCAATAGTTGGAGCTTATTTCATCATAGCTGACACTTAATTATTTTCATATGTGGAGCATTCCCTTTAAGGCAAGACGGGGAATTCACAAGCTGGCAGTCCTGTGTTAGTTGTCCAGCACATACACTCCAATCCCGACCACACAGATGCACTCCCTCCCCAGCATGGCAGACTGATGCAGGAATGCCGAACCCAGTCGCACGCAGCGCCCCGACGGCAAAGGAGCCTGCTTCCAGCGGTCATTCATGCCGGATGCCAACCACTAACGGGACCGACCGACTCCTGCAGACTACCGGACCCATTACTTCCCCGAGCAATTTAGGGCCAGCGTGTGGACCAGTCTGAAGTGCGGCATTGCTCACATTTTTTGGTTCGGGTAGGAAGCAGTGACACATACACACACGTTATCGACTGGGAATGGCCTACACAATCGCCAGTCATCAGGAACAAGAAGCTCCCACCCCGTACGATATCCGGGGTCAGGGAACGGAAAAGCTGCTCCCTTCATATTGCGCTCATCTTTTCAGAAACCCGGAGAAAAACTTCCGAGGCTTGTTTCTGCGAACTGAATGCCGACATTTCACCCTTTTCAGCCAGTCACCAAACTGAAACGCACCTTGACATAAAGCGTCCTGGTGCTTATACCAGCCGGAGCGTGACACGGAAACCTCAAAACTAGATTGATTAAACTTGAGCCCCTTAAACGGAGGCGTGATGGTGGGTGGCGGCACCGGGCCAACTGCTGCTCCGCCTCAGAAACAGGGACGTCACCGCCGCGCATGCGGTCCAGTCAGGCACGTACTATCACGCATAGAGTTTGTAATGACAGCCGGTGTTCGTCGATGTCGCTTAGAGCAAACATATCGCGTTCATATCTCCCAGCAAGAAGTAAGAATCATGAAAACTACGTAGCTGGCGCTCAATCTCGTAAACCTGTTTGCAAAAAGTTAAGTCAGGGTCTGAGGTGTTAGGTATACTAACCTTCTATTTAAACAGAAGCTAGGCATGCATTTTTAGCCTACACGTTTGTTGATGTTGTTTATTTGTATAGGAGTGGTTGCCAGCTACAAGTGGATGTTTTTGCGCCAGTTCACGCCTCCCAACAGATAGCACGGACGCTGTCGTATGCAAAAAGATTGACGTAACACGAGAAACAAAATGTCATATAACGTTTAGGCCTTCTTCTCACGCCGTTTTACGACGGCACGGCGCAACACTAGAAACAAGTTATAATGCTACGTTTATGTCCTCTCCTCACGCCGTCTTACGCTGGCATTCCGAGACAGATCAGCTAGGGGAGAGTCTACTGGACACCAATGAATGGACTCGAGCGATCGGGCGGCCTTCCGACGCAGCAGAGCCGGGCGGGCGTGCAACGGGCGTGATGCGGCGCCGACCTTTGGCAGAGCCGAGCGTCGGTCACGCGCCCGTGTGGCCGCCGGCCGGCCGGGCACGCCGCCGGCTCGTGAGCCGACTTCGCGGGAGCGGCGGCTGGGTCGTTCCGCGCCGTCGCCACCGCCGCCGGTGCGGCAAGACCGGCGGACGGCGCGGGAGAGCCGGAGGACACGACACACGGCGCGGGAGACGGGAGGAGCACGGACTGACGCTGTTGGTGGGGAGGGGGATGCTCGATGTCCGAGGGAGCAGTAGGCGGGCGGCACCTCGAAGATGAACCGAGCGGGGGCTGGCTTGGCTTGGCTTGGCCTGGAGTCATTCCACGTGTAGACAAGACGTGAATGCGAGGGAGCGATTGCGAAAGTGGAACGGAAATTTAGCTTCTTTTTTAGTTTAAAGGTAGGGGAGTTGCGTCTATGTTTAGCGATATGATGCGTTGGTCCGAATTTCGTGCATGCTTCGAGACACTCCTTGAAGCGCTGTGTAGGAATAGATGACCAGATCGTTGAAGCGGATTTTTCGTAACGACCCCAACTTGACCCCAACTTGACACCATGCCATCGTCTTCAGATACAAACAGGCAGCATTCCTGTGGTGGCCGCACGCCCCTCCGTCTTTATCACCTTCACTGATCCTGCCAGCAGGTGCAGTTCGCAGTACAATTCAGCCGTTTTCCAAAAGACTCTGGACGATGTGTTCACGCCTGAGAAGGCCTGGCCGACCCGCTGACCTGTGTGTGGGGGTAACTTTGTGTGCGACTCGGCGGCAGGTGGAGCAGTACCGGCTGCGCTGCTCCCGGCTGGAGGCGGACGCCTCGCCGCGCGGCCGGCCGCCGCCGCCGCCCGACTCCGCCGACCGGCCTGACCCGGCCGACCTGCAGACAGCCCTGCTCCGGCTGGAGGAGGCCGACAGCAGGTCAGATGGTCGGCCCGGATGCCCCTTCCCCCCGCTCCCCTGATTCCCACCTCCGGGTGGAGGAGGCTGACAGCAGGTCAGACGGCCGGCGTGGACACCCCCTCTCCTCTGCTCTGTCACTCCTCTCTTCTTAATCGCTCCTCCGCACGAAGCAAAGTTAACAGGTGGCCTTCTGGGCAGATGCATTGTGCCTGACCACATCTTTTGACTATTGTGGCTTGGAACGCTGTGTCCGCCGACTCTTTTGTGTTATGGAATTTCTTTGTCTGTGGTAAGGTGTGGGTACTGTCCGAATCGCTGTTGGGTTAGGTGTCATTTCCATTCATGATCCTGATCGCTCTTTTTCTTGGTCCTTATTTTAGCGAGGGGGATGAATTCAGAACGCAGTATGGTTAATATTGAACCCTCAACATTTATCTCCAGTGCCCCCAGGTGTGTGACCCTGTCAGACATGTTTCCCCAGGTGTGTGACCCTGTCAGACGTGTGTCCCCAGGTGTGTGACCCTGTCAGAATGTGTCCCCAGATATGTGACCCTGTCAGACGTCTGTCCCCAAGTATGTGACCCTGTCAGAAGTGTGTCCCCAGGTGTGTGACCCTGTCAGAGTGTGTCCCCCGGTGTGTGACCCTGTCAGAGTATGTCCCCAGGTGTGTGACCCTGTCAGAATGTGTCCCCAGATGTGTGACCCTGTCAGACGTCTGTCCCCAAATATATGACCCTGTCAGAGTGTGTCCCCACTTGTGTGACCCTCAGAGTGTGTCCCCAGGTGCGTGACCCTGTCAGAGTGTGTCCCCAGGCCTGTGACCCTGTCAGAGTGTCCCCAGGTGTGTGACCCTGTCAGAGTGTGTCCCCAGGTGTGTGACCCTGTCAGAGTGTGTCCCCACGTGTGTGACCCTAGGAGCGTGTCTCCAGGTGTGTGACCCTGTCAGAGTGTGTTCCCAGGTGTGTGACCCTGTCAGAGTGTGTCCCCAGGTGTATGACCCTGTCAGAGTGTGTCCACAGGTGTGTGACCCTGTCAGAGTATGTCCCCAGGTGTGTGACCCTGTCAGAGTATGTCCCCAGGTGTGTGACCCTGTCAGAGTGTGTCCCCAGTTGTACGACCCTGTCGGAGTGTGTCTCCAGGTGTGTGACCCTGTCAGAGTGTGTCCCCAGGTGTGTGACCCTGTCGGAGTGCTTCCCCACGTATGTGACCCTGTCAGAGTATATCCCCAGGGGCGTGACCCTGTCAGAGTGTGTCCCCAGGTGTGTGACCCTCAGAGTGTGTCCCCAGGTGTGTGACCCTGTCAGAGTGTGTCCCCAGGCCTGTGACCCTGTCAGAGTGTCCCCAGGTGTGTGACCCTGTCAGAGTGTGTCCCCAGGTGTGTGACCCTGTCAGAGTGTGTCCCCAGGTGTGTAACCCTGTCAGAGTGTGTCCTCAGGTGTGTGACCCTGTCAGAGTGTGTCCTCAGGTGTATGACCCTGTCAGAGTGTGTCCTCAGGTGTGTGACCCTGTCAGAGTATATCCCCAGGTGTGTGACCCTGTCAGAGTATATCCCCAGGTGTGTGACCCTGTCAGAGTGTGTCCTCAGGTGTGTGACCCTGTCAGAGTATATCCCCAGGTGTGTGACCCTGTCAGAGTATATCCCCAGGTGTGTGACCACGTCAGGAGTGTGTCCTCAGGTGTGTGGACCCTGTCAGAGTATATCCCCAGGTGTGTGACCCTGTCAGAGTATATCCCCAGGTGTATGACCCCGTCAGAGTGTGTCCTCAGGTGTGTGACCCTGTCAGAGTGTGTCCTCAGGTGTATGACCCTGTCAGAGTGTGTCCTCAGGTGTGTGACCCTGTCAGAGTATATCCCCAGGTGTGTGACCCTGTCAGAGTATATCCCCAGGTGTGTGACCCTGTCAGAGTATATCCCCAGGTGTGTGACCCTGTCAGAGTATATCCCCAGGTGTGTGACCCTGTCAGAGGTGAACGACATGCTGCGGGAGCAGCTGGACGCGGCGCAGGAGGCGAACGACGCGCTGACCGGTCAGGTCGAGAAGCTCTCGGACGACTGGCAGCGGCTCTCCGCCGACCTGCAGGCCAAGGAGGCCGCCTGGAGGGAGGAGGAGCAGGTGATGACCGGGTGTGACGCCGGGAAGAGCGAGAGAGCGTGCTGAAACTGTAGGAGCCAGAGCCGGTGGGCTGTGTGTCTGGGGACGTCTGGTGTTAGCGGGGTGGTCCGTTTTGTCGGATTTGTTTGTACGTACTCGGGAGTAGGGCGTGAAGTGCAACAAAAAGGGGGCTGAATGGTCGGCGCCCGGTTTTGCTGCTCCTTCTCTCTAAGCAAATACTCTTTTGCGTTGTCATATATCGATGAGGACGAGATCTGAAGATAAACAAAGCTTCAAGCGCCTGGTCTGTGTTTTTCATAAGCCTGCTTTTCCGTGAGTTTACCTTTAGGCGCACATTAAGCAGTGAGTAGGATCTTCTGTAGTTGAAGCTATTTCGCTCGGGTTCTACAGAACGTACCATTCACTGTATGAGCGAGTCTGCGTTTCGACACACCGTGAGACAATTGGTCTCGTGTTATTTCGAATCACATGACTTGAAATGCGAAATCAAAGGCCCACCCGCCCAGTCGCAGAGCTCAGGTGCCGCAGTTTGGTCGCATCAAACAATTATCGGGTCATTATTGTGCTACCTTCTGAATTGTCAGCACGACCCAGAAACGAGCACGATGTTGGACTGGGGCATGGCCAGTGCATCCACTTGGTGGAATTCAGGCAAGTGATGGCGTTTTTTACATATGCCGCTTGTGTTCTGTGTTTACCTTTTTGTCTGGACGAACCTAATCTGAATTGCTTCCGTTTCTGCCCCAGCTTCACGAGCACACTGTGGTTTAAGACGAGAGCACAAACCCAGCATGGCAGGATGGACAGGTGATGGACGATATTGCTCCCGTTTTTAAGATATGATGGAAAATTTCTGGTCGGGAGAGAAATTTCCGTTTCCGGCCGTTGATCGCAGGAGGTGAACGTCCGAACTGAAACGCGGCCATCGTCACCCAGTGTTCTGGCGACTTGCGGTCTTCAAATGTCCATTTTTATAAACGGTTTGACTCGTCACCCTAAGTTCTATTTTGTGAAAAACTGGCAACGCATCGTATTTCTACCTGCTGCAATGTATGGGCATGGGAGTTATCCTCATGTGTAAGGGACAACTTAAAAGCCAATTGATGATGTTGGTGCCATCAGCCACCTGGCCAGGCCATAGTTCACGTTGTGCTGGAACGCCAAAGCATACGCGAAAACGCCTAGGTGACTACCGGGAGTGCTGAAAAGGCGAAGGGGATGTAAACAGTCATTCTAACCCGAAGCAATTCAGTTTTCTTTGGAACGTTGAGGTGTTCGTACCCAACGCATACTACCAGTTTTGTGAAAATCTGTTCGTTAGAAATCGCGTGTTGTGATTAATCGCACATATTACGGTTGACCTTTGCAGGTCAAACCCTTCGAAATGTTGTGCAGGTCTCCTGTTCAGCGGATTACTTCTGGCTTTGTTGCTGCGATATGTGCGAATGCCTGCTGATGCCATGCGTGAGGCTTGCAAATAAATACAGCCCAGAACATAGTGATATGCTGCTCCCGGGCTGTGATAGTGATTAATTGTTTTACTCGTCCGTCTGTGCGTGGCGTGTGTCGAAAAATACCGATGTTTTATTTTATTTTTCCGTGGAGGGTGTTGAAGGTTAAAAGTTTGTCATCGACGTGCTGTTTCTGGAGTAACAGCGCAGGTCAGGTCAAATGGCATTGATGCGCTGTTGCGAAGTCTTCGGAGCTTGTGTAATGTGTGTGACACAACCTGGCTCAACTGGGAGTGGGCCCCACTTACCTCGCACGGATAATGCAAAATCAGAGGTCATTGTTTCATGTATTCTTACTTTGCTCATAGACAGCTGTGCACGCAGTAGCGCCCTGCAGGCTCAGTTCGGTTCACGACATGTTCGCCGTAACCTCAAGTGGTGTTTTGAATTGTCACAACACAGGCAGCAACAACGCTCATTGTTCAGCGGCTGTATGCATTGAAAATCGCCAAAAAGAAGCACTATGGTACACAAGATGTATCTTTCTGTGGGCGCAAAATGGCCTTAGTAGTCAGCACGCCCTGAAACTCCAATTATCATCACAGCCCAGAATTCTTACTTAAAGTCGCCAGACTCAGCTGGTCCGAATTTCGCTGCCATCCACGGCTTGGCCCGGGGTGTAACTTAACCTCCAGAGATCAGGACGAGGGGACTGCACCAGCCCTGCCCTACCCTGCCGATGCAGTGCGCTGCGAGCCCATGCGTTGCGGTCAGTAAATCGCCATCTGGTCGCCAGACACATGGGAAGCCATTCCAGAGGACCCGCCGCCGGCAGACCTGGGCTGGGACCCGCCGCCGGCAGGCCTGGGCTGAGACCCGCCCCGCCGGCAGACCTGGGCTGGGACCCGCCGCCCACTCAGAGTCATTCCAGAGGACCCGCCGCCGGCAGACCTGGGCTGGGACCCGCCGCCCACTCAGAGTCATTCCACCGCCGCCCACCGCCCACTCACCGCGCCGATATCAACACGTGTGTGCAGATTGTGACCGGCGCGGCTATCTGCTGCCGTCGAGTGCGCCCCGTGTGCGTGCAGGGGCCGCGGTGTGGACGGAGACCGGAGCGTTAGTGCAGGGCGCAGCCGAGGCCGCCGAGGCGAAAACACTCGGTGGTGTGTCGTTTTTGTGCGCCTCGATCAGGCCTGTGTCTTACCAACACTCGGTCCCCCTCGTCTCCAGACCTCAGCAGCTATCAGAGCACCGGGAACTGCGTGCAATCTGCTGGTGTGTGTTTGTTTTTAGGTTTCTTATTCCGGTCCGTCGCGTCCTGCACACCAGGGTCCCCCCCCCCCCTCAGGCCTTCAACTACGACTTCCACGATACACAACACGCAGTCTCCAGACCTTTGGTAACTACTGCAGCAATACCTGACACCGGGCCTCCCTCCACCGGACCTTCCACTAGCTCAGCGGTTGCTAGGTGCGTAACTCCAGCCTCCTTCCCTCAGGCCTACAGCAAGTACTACAGCGCCGAGCACGCCCGCACGCTGCGCCTGTGGCAGACGGTGGTGGCGTTCCGGCGCGACTTTGGCGACCTGCGGCTGGCCACGGAGCGCGACCTGAGCCGAGCCGGCGGCGAACTGGCGCGTCTGGGCCGGCGCGCCGCCGAGCTGTGCGCCGCGCTGCCGGTCGGGCCGCCGGCCGACGGCATCGCCGGCGGCGGCGACAATGCTCAGGTCAGCGGCGGGCCCGACCATCAGGGGAGGCGTTGGTGGAGGGGCTGAGGACGGGAACAACGCACTGGCGAGCCCGACCATCAGGGGAGGCGGTGGAGGGGTGGCTGAGGACGGGAACAACGCACAGATCAGCGGCGGGCCCGGCCATCAGGGTAGGCGGTGGTGAAGCGGCTGAGGACGGGAACAACGTACAGGTCAGCGGCGGGCCCGACCATCAGCGGAGGTGGTGGTGAAGCGGCTGAGGACGGGAACAACGTACAGGTCAGCGGCGAGCCCGACCATCAGGGGAGGCGGTGGAGGGGTGGCTGAGGACGGGAACAACGTACAGGTCAACGGCGAGCCCGACCATCAGGGGAGGCGGTGGAGGGGTGGCTGAGAACGGGAGCAACACACAGGTCAGCGGCGGGCCCGACCATCAGGGGAGGCGGTGGTGAAGCGGCTGAGAACGGGAACAACGCACAGGTCAGCGGCGGGCCCGACCATCAGGGGAGGCGGTGGTGAAGCGGCTGAGAACGGGAACAACGCACAGGTCAGCGGCGGGCCCGACCATCAGGGGAGGCGGTGGTGAAGCGGCTGAGGACAGGAACAACGCCAAGGTCAGCGGCGGGCCCGACCATCAGGGGAGACGGTGCTGAAGCGGCTGAGAACGGGAACAACGCACAGGTCAGCGGCGGGCCCGACCATCAGGGGAGGCGGTGGTGAAGCGGCTGAGGACGGGAATAACGCACAGGTCAGCGGCGGGCTCGACCATCAGGGGAGGCGGTGGAGGTGCTGAGGACGGGAACAACGCACTGGCGGGCCCGACCATCAGGGGAGGCGGTGGAGGGACTGAGGACGGGAACAACGCACTGGCGGGCCCGACCATCAGGGGAGGCGGTGGAGGGGCGGCTGAGGACGGGAGCAACACACAGGTCAGCGGCGGGCCCGACCATCAGGGGAGGCGGTGGAGGGGCGGCTGAGGACGCCGATGTTTGCGGTGTGTAGGATGGGCTCGGAGGATTGATTCTCGCTGCTGTCTGCCAGCCTTTTGAGCGTCATTTTCAGTTCATGTTCTCGTTGATCCGCTACATAGTCAATGTTCTGTTTCTGGTGAGTCTCCGTGCGTGTGCCCTGGTGATCAGCAGCTACTACTCTTGAAATGTGGCGCTCACGGCTGGCGAGGAAGCCTTAGGGCATCAATGGGCACGTTTCTCCGTGAATGATCCCGTCCGGTTGCTGCCGGTGTATCACACCGCTAGTGAGCTGTCTGACGAGCCCTACGCTGGTGTCAAGCGTAGTTCTAAGACTGGGTCTCATTTGGAGCATCAGCTAGTAGGGCACGATCGACGGTAGAATCGACGTTTAAAAGCCAGGAGACCAGACCAGTAGTGGATCCTCGCAACAGTAGCCTGGGAACGGCTGGAACATCTTTTGCGGGACAAGCCCATCTATTTTGACCTGTGTTTACGTTGCTGCCTCTCTGCACCAGATACAGAACAAATCTGGCGGATGGATTTGACCGAGCAAGCAAAGCCTGTCTTTGGACAATCGAAGGTTATATCCTTACCTCCCAGTTAATTCGGTAATGAAACTGCCGTCGGCTAAACACGCATCGCTCTTGGGCGCAGGCGGCAGCTTCTGCGGCGAGTATCAGTGTGCTGGAGAAGATGCAGGAGATGCAAAAGCAAGAGATGACTTTCCGCTCCAAGACGCGAGAGCTGGAGAGCAAGCTGAAGGAGCTCAACAGCCAAGTACGCTGGAATGTTTCGCATTACTTTTAATAAGCTATGGCGCCTAATGTCCCATGACATCAGGCGATGCAATTCCTCATGTAATTCTTGATTCCAGCTACAAAAAAGAGTACGCATTTGCCAAAGCACCCAATACAAATGCAACGGAAACGTGTCTTACCTTTCTTCGGTAACATGGCGTTATTGTCCGCGTAGATCACCACTGGCCGGGAAGAAAACAGGGAGAAAGAGAGGGAGATCACATCCCTCAAGAAAATCATCCACAACCTGGTGAGTGCTGAGTTTGTTTCCCGTGGCTGCATGTTCCTCCTATCCAGTGATAGCTAGTGCTAGGTCACGCACATTTTATTGACATCGGTGGCATGTCCGGTGCTGGCTCAGTTACCATTCAGTGATCACCCACCCAGTGACTGTTCAATGACCACCCACCCAGTGACTGTTCAGCGATCACCAACCAAGTGACTGTCCAGCGATCACCAACCAAGTGACTGTCCAGCGATCACCCACCAAGGGACTGTCCAGCGATCGCCCACCAAGTGACTGTTCAGTGAACACCCACCCGGTGACTGTCCAGGGACCAACCACCCAGTGACTGCGCAGCGCCCGTGCGATGACGAGCCGTCGCTGGCCGGCAGGAGTCGAGCTCGGCCGAGCAGCAACGCCGCCTGGAGGCGCACGAGCAGCTGCTGCAGGACGGCGAGGTGCTGGCGCGGGCCGTCCGCGAGGTGGCACAGCTAGCGGCGGCACAGGCCGAGCCGTCCGAGCAGCAGCAGCAGCCGCAGGAGGGGGAGGGCGCCGACCGGCTGCCGGTGCTCGTCCAGGCCACCGCCCTGGTCAGGTCAGTCCACGGGTCGGGCCACGTCAGGACACCGTGGGGTCAGGTCAGGCCAGGTCAGGTCAGGTCAGGTCAGTCTTCTGGTGAGGACAGCTCCCCGTCCCGCTGATAAACATTGTTTGTCTGTGCGACTGACACGGCCGGTCCGTCTACGTGCCTGACGTCGCTTCTGCCTGTGTAACAGTGATCGGCTGAATCTGTGCAGTTGGCGCATGATCTGTACAGCCTCTGACACGGTCGGCTTCTATACGCTTTTGCGTATGTAAGAGTGATCGGCTGGATCTGTGCAGTCCGCACATGACCTGTACAGCCGCTGACACTCTCGGCTTACACGGTCGGCTGACACGGTCGGCTTTACGGCCACTGACACGGTCTGCGTGACTTGCGTCGGTCGTCGTGAGGTGATGCCGACATGACCGGCAGGACGCCCTACGGTCCGGCGACGGCCGGCTCGCCGGTGCCGGCCGTCACGCTGGCTGAGAGTACCGTCATGGCCGTACAGGCGGTGCTGAACAGGCAGCAGCTGCGTAACCACGAGCTCCAGGTGAGCCGGCGGCCGGGGATACGCCCCGAGGCGTGCCCTCTGGTCACGGGTCGGCCCCGGATTCGTACCCCTAGCTATGTGTTCAGAAACACGTTTCAGAAGTTGATCGATGCTGTAAGCTTTACCCTGGCTTTCGGCCTGCCACCAGAGCCGAGTAACGCCGATATGGAACAAAGAGCCTGACAGTCAGTCTGGGGTCTGAAGGCCGGCGCAGCATCCCACGGTTTGTCGGTCGCTGCCTGCGTGTCACTGCCGGGCACGTGACTCCCTCTGGCGACCTCACGAGTTGATGTGGCCGGCCTGCGCGCGCACCCGCGGCTCGGTGTGCGTCGTACCTGTAGACCAGCCCGTGACCCCCTCCCCTCCCCCTCTCCTGCCGGCCGGCAGGTGAAGCTGAACAGCTCGGCGGAGCAGCTGGCGCAGCTAGGCCGCCGCTGCGCCGAGGCCGACCAGCTGCAGCAGCGGCTGCAGGCGCAGCTGCTGGAGGCGCAGGAGCGGCAGCTGGTCACGGAGCGCGAGCGGGACGAGTCGCGCCGCCAGGCGGAGCGCGACCAGCTGCAGCTGGTGACGCTGACCGCCGAGCGCGAGCAGCTGGAGGGCGCGCGCGCCGGACTCGTGCAGCAGGTCAGACCCGGCGACCCTGCCCTCGTTCGTGGGCTCTCCGTCTCCTCGGTGACTAGGTCTGAGAGGCAGAGGGAAAGACCACGAGAGATGCTTGTTCTATCATCACGAAGGCACATGTGTTATAAAAGAAACGACGTGCGGGCGTGGCATGTTGTGGCCTCTGGGGCCGGTAAGATCATTGGAGGGGGAGGGGGGGGAGGGGGGGGGGGCTCATGATATTGGGACCGTAAGATGAACGCTCGGCTTCTGTGCAGCGGCGGTCCATGATCGCCGATGGCCCAGCAGGCTGAGTTGGTGTCCGTCGCCTACCACACGGGGAGCGTGCGTTCCCCTCAGGGTGGGGGAGAGCAGGGTGCCGCCAGGGCCGGACCAGAACCGCCGGCGGCCACTGACCTGGCAGTGCAGTGGTCAGACGTGATCTGTGGGGCGGGCTGGCGGCAAACAGCCAGCGAGATGTCAAGCGTGGCGATCGAGTCGGGGTCGTTCTTTTTGATTCACGAATTGGCATGCGTTTTTGTCTTTGCCCCTGGATTGTTAGCAGGGGATAACGAGCTGACGTGGTGCTGCAGGTGGAGACCCTCAACAGCGAGGCCGACAGTGCTCAGGCCAGTGTCCAGGAGCTGCGGAAGCAGAAGGACGCTCTGGAGGACGAACAGCACCACCTCAGCTCCGAAGTGGAGAGACTGAAGTCTGCACTAGAGGACTGGTGAGGGAGCGCCTTCCTCCGCGGCGTGCGGTCATGCCGACAAAGTCCCGTGTGGTCCACCATTGATATGGGCTGGAAAGATTGCCTGCATGTGTGTCCGCGTGTCTCGCCGGCCACAGCAGGGGACAGTTTTTGCTGCCCAAGGATGTTGAGGTGTCATGCACTACTCAGGCCTGGACCACTAGGTGTCATCCTGGTGAGGGGGGACTAAGCTGGGGCAGGACGTTGGTCCGTCTGGTTCGCTCTAAATGACGCGTTTGTGTGTTAATGAACTTCTAGATGCTTCGTCAGGAGAGAATAGTGCAACTTTGTAGTGGTTTTGAACTTTGATAAGAGAACGGTTTATGTGTCTCCCAGGCCGATAATGTGAAGACTCAGCGCTCCCGGCTGGATGTCTAGGCCGATAATTGGAGGGCCCGGCGCTTCCGGCTGGGTTGGTCCTGGTCTTTGCCAGTGCATGACATCGTAACATCTGTGGGCAAAAACTCTCCGTTAAGCCGGAGTCGCTCTACGGGGCTGAACCTAGTGGGGCCATAATATACACAAAAGCTGTGGGTGATCCCATGTGACCGCGTCCCAGAGTGAACCTCACAAGGTATGCAGGCAGCTCGTTTAATTTTTAGGTCCGACGATCCCTACAAGTGCCTGCTGGCGACGGAGTGATGCGTGATGTGTGATGACCCCAGCCATTGTCGGCTGGTGGCCGTGTTTAATGTGTGATGACGGCAAGCAATGTCTACTGATGTCCATGCATGGTGCCCCAGACAGTGTCTAATGATGTCCATGCCTGATGTCTTATTTCCCCAGCCATTGTCCACTGGTGACCACATCTGATGTGTCATGTTTAACGCCCGCAGCCAGCGTCTGCTGGAGGACAAGACGGCCAGGTCGGCAGAGCTCCGGGAGACGCTCGTGGCCCTGAAGGAGGAGCTCAACAGCATGCGACTGGAGCGTGACGTGCTAGCACAGGAGAAGGCCGAACTGGACGACATACTCGGGAAAACGGAGCTTGACAAGGGTGCGGCTGTGCGGCTGCCGCATCGCTCAGCGTGGCCCGGGTGTCTGGGAGCATGGGTTCGGTTCTGCGGCTAGCTTTTCAGCTAGCGAAATGTCAGTCACGAAGCTCAGTTGAATGCCTTGTAGTGACTAGGTGGAATGCAGTTCAGTAGAGATCACTTTTTAGGTCACTGTTTACAAGCTTTCACTCTTGCGCTACCCCAGAACAATCTTGAGCACGGCAGATCATGTAACAGTCATTTGCTGGCTGCTCTGTTCCATAGGTGGTCTGATTGAGCGTCATTTGCCGATTATTATCTGCGGATCCCAGGCTGGGCTAGTAGGGGGCCGATGTGCCCTGACCCCAGGTCACGCCCTGACCCGTCTGACCCCAGGAGACCTGGAGGCTCAGGTGACCCGTTTGGAGGCGAACGAGACTGCTCTTCGTGACGCCCTGCTGAAGATCCAGAACCTGAACGAAGGCCTGGGCGTGGACAAGATGGACCTGAGTCAGATGGTGGAGCAGGTGGGGAGCGGTGCCTCGCTGTACGGGCGCAGTTATCGCCTTCCAGACATACGGTATTAAAAGCTGTGTGGGTGTGCCTGGGGTTGTGGTCTGTGCTAGGAGCGTCAGGTTGCGAAGACCCTGACTCCGCCACCCCCGTGGAAAAATGCCGCCTAAACGGCAAGTTTGTATTGCCTCAGTCTGCTGGCCAAATGGAACAAAGCTTGTTCGTTTCGCCTGGCGACATCATAACGCGTCCTCCCGGTGCCAGTGCGGCGCTCTCCTTCCCAGCGGCCAGCTGACCGGCCTGGGCCGGGCGATCCTGGTATGCTGCGTCGGGGCCACGGCAGAGCGGCGCGCGCGTCGCTGCCGCTCCAGGGGTGACGCAGAGATCTGGCGCCCGGGCCGTCTGTGGCGCGGGACCGTCCCCTGCTTCCGGGGGTGGGGTCCGTGCCCCGCGGTGGTGTCTGTGCCCCGTGTCTCGCGCTGACCTGGTGCCAGTCAGCCGGCCGCCGGACGGCCGCTGACTCGGCCGATCGCGCGCGCCGCTCTGCCGCGACAGCGGCCGATCCGTCAGTTCCGCATCTGTCCGGCAGATGGCAGCGGAGGCGGCGGCGCTACGCTCGGAGCGCGCCTCGCTGGACGCCGAGCTGGCCGCGCTGAAGGAGGCGCTGCTGCGGGCGGAGCAGGGACGCACGCTGGCGGAGGCCGAGCGACTGTCGCTGCAGGACAGTCTGACGCAGAGCGAGCAGCAGCGGGACAAGGTCAGTACTGCGCCAGGCTCGTCCGAACCGCGCCAGGGTCGTCCTAGCCGCACCAGGCTTGTCCGAACCGCGTCAGGCTCGTCCGAGCCGCGTCAGTCTCATCCGAGCCGCACCAGGCTTGTCCGAACCGCGCCCGCTGCAACACTTAAGTGCGCGTTTGCTGCCTCAGCTGAGCTGATGGTGTGGGGTTCCAGCCTCCGTGAGTGTGGTGTATGTACGGTTTCTACCGTTTGACCTCAGCTCCGTCACCTGACACGACCCGGTGTCTTCGAGCGCCTGACCAGATGTGTGAGCTCGTGATCCTTCAGCTCCTCGCCCGACCTGACATGACCTGTGCCAGCAACGGGATGGCCAAACGGCCCGTGACGACCGTGACGATGGCCAAACGTCTGTGTGACCGTGACATCTGTGCTCCGTGACCCCGTGTGATCTCAGCTCCGTGACCCGTGTGACCTCAGCTCCGTGACCCCGTGTGACCTCACCTCCGTGACCCCGTGTGATCTCAGCTCCGTGACCCCGTGTGACCTCAGCTCCGTGACCCCGTGTGATCTCAGCCCCGTGGCCCCGTGTGATCTCAGCTCCGTGACCCCGCGTGACCTCGGCTGCGTGGCCCCTCCTGTCCTCAGCTGGATGACCAGGTGTCTGAGCTGCTGGCCGACCAGTCGGAGCTGGAGAGCCGGCTGGCGGCGCTGGAGCGGCAGCGTGCCGCCCAGCAGGAGGAGCTGTCGCGCACCAGACTCGACTACGAGCGCGCCAAGGCCGAGATGAACCGGACGGCCAGCGAGCGCGAGACGCTGGCGCGCGCTTCCGGCGAACTGCAGGTCCGTCAGAGGGACGGGACAGAAGGCGCCTCGGGGGGGGGGGGGAGGGGTGGTAGAGAGGCGTGAGGTTCTGAACTCGCTGTCCCTCGGAGACAGGGGAACGGCGCAGCGAATTGGACGCGCGATGTGACGTGTACTCACTGTGTCGTGCGGTGGCCAACTGACCGGCGCTGTATGGTCAGAGCTCGGTGGTCCTGTGACGTCTCCGTGCGGTCGTGAGGGAGCCGCGCCGAGGTCTGGCGGCGCTCGGCCGCCGTGTCGGGTGGGCGCACGCCTCGGTCTGACCGCCGCCCGCTCCACAGGCTCGCCACGCGGCCCTGCAGAAGGAGCAAGCCAGTCTGCGCGAGGTGCTGGCCGCCGTGAGGGCTGAGAGTCAGCACGCTGAGGTACCGGCGAGCGCGGCGGCACGGCGCAGGCCGAAGGCTCCAGTCGCAGGCAGACTGCGCTGGCGATGGCCGACAGGCGCACCGAGCTCTTCACGGTGCCGGTCGCTGAGGGCTCGAAGGAGTGGAGCAAGTTGTCGGCGTCGCTCAAATGGATGTATGTCTTAGAATGCTGTGATGAGCCGTGATCTTGCTCCTCAAGACGGCGGCGTGATCTGCTCAAGCAGAGGTGTACGGGAGAAAACGTTCACGGGAAGGCGTACGAGCCGGAATGTCATTAGAAGCTTTATTCATCATGGACAAATATACCGGATGACACGTGAACTGGGTCGGTAGATGCAACTTTACGAGAAGAGCTGCGCCCTGGAGGCAGCCGAGACGGCGCGCCGGCAGCTGGAGAAGGACAACAAACAGCTGACCCTGCGGCGGGAGGAGGTGCAGAACCAGCTGAACCTCGCCCGGCGGGACATGGACCAGGAGGGCGGTGAGTCGAGATGTCGTGCGAATGGTGCGCGCGCTGCCGGCAACAGTACAGAAATACCGAGTGCTGTCTCAGGTGTTTTGATTCTACATGGGCATCTGTGTTTTAAAACTGTGAGCGCCGGTAAAGCAATGTATGGCGGATGTAGCAGCCGACGTTGAATTGAGAACATTCACATTCTCGACCTAGGAGGGTCTGGGAGGAGAACGAATACAAACGCTTGTCCATCCTGCGTGATTGGTCTGCCCGCGGTCACGGCGGTCACCTTGCACCGGGGCTGCGGGAGGTGTGTGTTGTAATGAGGGCAGACGTTCCGTGGCCAGCCCGCCTTGTGACCGCCTGTCCGAGCTGAGCGGTCGTCGCCTGTTGGCCACAGGGCAGCTGCGTGAGAAGTGTGACGAGCTGCAGCGCAGGCTGGAGGAGGCGCGCACCGAGCAGGCCCGTCTGCTCTCCAGTCAGCAGCACCAGCACGATGTGGAGGCGGCCCGGCTCACGCGCGAGAAGGTGACTTCTTCTCTCTTTCCTCGGCCCTTCTCTTGTGCTCCTTCGGCCTATTTATGTATAGGGTACCTCTCTTCTGCAACGCGTCGCGCGCGCGTGCTTTTGGGCGCACAGGATAGACGCTGGGTGTCCGCTGAAGCATTCATCCGCCCGCGTGCCAGAGGAGCCACGTCTGAGGGTCTCCCTGGAGGCTGTTCGCACCGTGTCTGGCCGGTGTGTCCTGCTGCGCGCCGACGACCGCCACGTCCCGGTCCTCGGTGTGGCGACCGCTCCGCCGGGGCGTCGCTGACGAGCTCTGAGCGCCGGTGGCCGCTGACGCCCCCCTTACCCCTCACCGCGGTAGGAGGAGGCGGTGCGTGCGCTGGAGTCGCAGCTTCAGAAGTCGGCACACGCCTGGAGCCGCGAGCAGGACGACCTGCTCGGCCAGAAGAAGCAGCAGGTGCAGGCGCTCCAGCGCGAGCTGGCGCAGCAGGCGCGCGCCGGCGAGGCGCAGCTGCTGGCGGCCGAGGAGAGCAAGCAGCAGGCGCTGACGCTCGGTGTGTGACCTTTGTCCTTCTCGTCCTCTTATCACACCCGTCAGTCGCGGTGCCAGTTGAAATGACTGTGCAGACCGATGCTCTGTGTTTTGGATCATCGGTGATTTATGCCATGTGTTCAGGAGCCCCTGCGCTGTGCATGCCTGAACTTTGTCGCCTTGTGCCCTGATCTTCCACGTGCTCTAGCCCTCTTGGCGCTGAGGCATTCCTGTGCTGTGGCATTATTCCTGTAGTTTGGACCCCTGTTCTATGACATTACTGATATGTTCACCGGTCTGTGCTCCAGTGCTCTGCTCCTCCCGCTGCGTCCCAGTTTATCCTCGTGCTCTACCTTCTCGTACCGCTGCCGCCGCCGCCGCCGCTGACGACCTTTGGACTGTCCGTATGCAGCGCAGCAGGAGCAGCAGGCGGTGCATCAGCGGCTGCAGCAGGCGCAGCAGCAGCTGGAGGAGCACCGAGCCGAGCTGGAACGGCTGCGGGGCGAGGCCTCCTCGCACGGCCAGCTGTCTCGCTCCAGCGTCGGCGCCCTACACACGGACATCTCCCGGCTCCGCACGCAGATGGAGGACAAGGCGTGAGGGCGGCGTACTGGGCCCGCGGACAGGCCGGCATTTGGGGTGATGACTTTGGTTCCTGAATAGCGCGGTGTAATCAGATGCGGACAGAAACGCGTAGCTTGTGCTGGAGCCTATCTTGAATGTTGTACAGGCCGATGTCAGGACAGCGGCGAGAGGGCTGCAGCGTTGTGGATTGCTTGAGGCCCGGCAGCGTTGTGGATTCGTGTGTGGACGTCGAATGAGGCAAGTAAGAATGGGTATGTGCCACCGCGGCTCTGTCTTGTGACGCGATCCCTAGATGTGACGGTATTCTGCTGCGGTCTGCCGCTGTTTTGTATGCGTACCCGGCTGCCGTGGGGCTAAGTGTTCCTCGCAGGCCGATATCCGTACTCTCCCCGGCAGGATCACCCACGAGAAGGAGGTGGCGTCACTCTCCCATCAGATCCTGGACGCGCAGCGCCAGCGTGACTTGACGGACGCGGCGCACGGCCAGGTCAAGGTCAAGCTCAAGGTCACGGAGGAGCACCGCGATAGGCTGGAGCGTGACCTCACCGAACTCAACCGCAAGCTGAGCGAAGGTGCCTGCGGGGGTCACATATGCTTTGCTTAGCGGGCCCGGGGGAAACAGTGCTCTCCTTTGTGAGGTCATGTTTTGTGGGGACATCCATTTGGCTGAGCTGAAATTGGGCATTGGTATTCTGAGATGGGGGAAAATCAAAGTGATGACGGCGCGTACAGTGGTATGCTCATCCTGATCGGCTACAGTGGTGAACTAGTGCACGACACTCGTAATGCATCAGTGCATCGTGCACTGGCGCATCACTGTGCGCTGTGACGGCACATTGATAATCCATTAGAAAGGTATCTTATGTTAGGTTTGATGCAAGCAGGAGCCCTATAGATGCGCTGGGCTTGGGAGCCCCTGCCTGCAAGATATTGCAATGCCATTAAAACATGATCATCCACCAGTGGACCTACTCGTCTTCGGCTGATTCAACAATGTGGCTCTGCTTAACTTGCGCTCGGTACTTTCAGCCTCGTGCCTCTATTCCACATGTATGTATTCCGTTCCAGTGGAGACCCAAAACGCTGACTGCAACCGCTCTTTGGCGGACACCAAGCGGGCTTTGCAAGAGGCTGAACATGAGCTGGCAACGCTAGATGGCATTAACGGCGAGCTGCGCGACAAGATTAAACGGCTCGAGGCTGAGAAGGGTGAACTCAAGCGGGTCCTGGACGAGGCCAACCAGAGAATAAGCAGTGAGTGGGTTTTTGGTTCAGTAGGTAACCTTCTGCTTGATATGAGGAAGCTGGATTCAAAATAACCCAAATATGTGAAGTGTATTTGACTTGTATCGCTTATCACCTGGTTCAAAAACATGTCCGCCGTTGTGCTGCAATCACCTGTAAATTTTCACGCATCACGCCTGCGTATAAAATGCCACAGCTTCTGGAATATAATGTGTAATCCCGCAATCAACACCAGCGATCTCAGGTCCAGCCCTTACCGAGAATAGCAGTCCGCCGGTAATCCCTATATGTTACATCATGACAGACATGGACGTGTTCCGCATTTGTCCACACATGGGACTGTGGCCTCCGGAGACCGGTGGGGTTGGCCACAAACGGGCTCGTGACCCGGTTCTATCGGTCAGCCAGCTTCCTGGCACCACCCCGGTGCGAACCCACGGAGAAGGTCCCGACTCTAGTCTGACTGTCCGTCCGCCGTACCGCGCGGCACGCGTCCGTCACGTCAGGGCCCTGAACCGGCCCGGGTCTGCCGGCATACGGCCTCGGTGATAGATTGCGAGTGACGTCACGGTGCCGCGAACGCCAGCCGTGCTGTCTCCCGTCACGTGACACCGGCGCGCTGCGCAGTTCTGGACGGCGCGCAGGAGAGCTCGGCCAAACAGAGCCACGAGCTGCGCACCCAGCTGCGCGACCTGGAGCGGGCGCAGCTGGAGTCGACGCGCGAGCTGCAGGAGCTGCGCCACCAGGCCAAGCAGCTGCAGCTGCTCAACCAGCAGCGGCTGACCGAGCTGACTGACAGCAGGCAGCAGCTGGCGCGCCAGCAGGACGCCAACGACACGCACAAGAACGACATCCACAACCTGCAGGTCCAGGTGGGCGGCTGTCGCTGCTGCGGCTCGGATGGGTGATGGGCCGTTTGTCGGGCGCTGGGTCTGCCGGGCCCTCCGTGGTCATTCACTATGGTCTGATGAGCAGGCACCACTACGTGGACGGCCTCCGTGCTCCAGTGTCCGGTCCGCACTGAGCCGGATTAAGGAGTAACATTTGCTCCAAGGCATCTCTTTTTGCCTTCCTGGAAGTGACGACTGCCTGAAATCATTTGTGAGGCGGGGTCGAGCCCAGATGTCACTGATGGCGTTCACTGGCCTCACCGCTGCTTTCGGAGCGCACCAGCTGATGTGACGCTGCCGTCGCCCGTGCGGCTCTGCACAGATGCGGGACCTGGAGGCGGTGCGAGAGGGCCTGCAGAAGCAGCTGGCCGAGGCCGAGCGGCGGCTGGCCGAGCTGCAGGAGAAGGCGCGCTGGCGGGAGCGGGACCTCTCGGCCGCCCTGGAGGAGTGCCGCGCCACCGGTCACCGGCTCGAGGAGGACAAGGAGAACCTCGAGATCCGACTGAGCGCCTCCAGCCAGGAGGCCACCGACCTCAAGGTGCGCCTGGTGGCCTGTTGTTGCCCGCTGACTTTAGCCTGGCGGTCCCACTGCGCTGCAGGTGATGCGGTGTTTGCGTGGAGTTGTGTGCTTGGAGGACCTGTCGATAACCAACGATTGGACTAAGCTAAGAAAATTTAACTCAGCCGGTCGTAGCATGGGCTGGGTGCATGTCGCCATCGACTGTAACGCCGCGCTCCCGGAGTCCAGGCCTGTCAGGCAGGTTTAGTTCATGATTTGTCCACCGCTGGCTGGCTGGCGCTGTCTGGTGCGGCTGTTTCCCGACCGTTGACGTTGTTGTGGCTGTGGCGCCGCAGCTGAAGCTGCTGTCGGCCGAGGGCCGGGCGGAGACGCTGGAGGGTCAGGCCGGCCGCCAGGAGGCCACCCGCCGTGACCTGGAGCACAAGCTGGCCGCCCTGTACTCGTCGCTGCGGCGCGTGGTCGGCATGCGGCTGGACGGCGGCGGCAACGGCGGCGGCCCGGTCTGGCGGCGCCCTGCTCCGCCCGCCACCGCAGGTCAGGCGCCGCACGCACTGCCGGCCGGCAGACCGTCGCCTGGGCACCACCACACGCAGAGGGGCGCGGCTCCACCGTGCCGAGTGTTGCTAATAGCTCACGTTTTGTTATTTTGCGATACAGCTGTGTGTGTGCGGAAGTGCTGTCTGTTTACTTATGTTTGTGGCCTTTTTTGTCGCACGATTTGCTTCCAGCCATGCATGACTTCGCTGCCAGTCTGTGCCCGTTTTCATTGGAGTTTTTTTTTAGTGATGGATGAATGTGTATGTGTATTTGGTTTTAGACGTTGAATGTGTATATATTTGGTTTTAGACGTAGAGAGCCCGAATCTGTCCATCACTCAAGACGAGCTTTGCTCTCTGATTATCTCGATGGAAGAGAGCAGTCCCCCGCCGGACCCGACTCCCTCCGCTGGTACGTACCGCTCCGTCTACCTCCGACCCCGTGGTGACCCCCGGGCGTGTTCCCGGCTGCCCCCCCCCCCCCCTACTTGGACGGATCGGTGGTGCTGCGAGTGGAGAGCCAGGAGTCGTAATCCACGATCTACTACGAGACCCGAAGCTGAGTAGAGGCTCAAATGTCGCTCTTTATGGCTGTGAGCCCCTGCTCTACTGGAGAAAGAAAACAGGGAGTCAGACCGAAACAGATGATGCAGACGAATTAACGAGAACGCCGGCGGAATAGATCAGACGCTCCATGGCTCAGTGTGTCGTCACCTGACCCGATCCGTCTCGGCGGCAGGGTCAACCGACCTGCTGGACGCGGCGCCGGCCGGCCCGCCGCCCAACGCCGTCGACGTCGACCCGGAGTTTGTGCGCCAGGGCCTGAAGGATCTGATGCAGCAGGTGGCGCGTGTGGAGCGGCAGCGGGTGAGGCCGCGCCCGGGGCGCCACGCCGCCGCCATCACGCCGACCAGATGACTTGCGACTGGTGGGAGCAGCCGTGCGGTGGTCTGAACTAGAAAACGTGCTGAGGACTTCAGCTGGGGCCGTGTGTGTGTTTACCGCCACGCGGTCATTGTGCATGCTCAGTTTCTGTCGCGTTTTACAGCTCTAAGCGCATCTTTTGGTGAGCATGCAGTTGACCCGCGTGGCCGTGGTGTTCGGCATTGGCGAGGCATCGTGTCCATTCCCCTGTCGTGCCACCACGTGCGTGTACAGCCCAGCGCGGCCGCCACCGCCGCCATCGCTAACCGCAGCTTCATGCCCAGGACGAGGCGACGGCGCGCTGCCAGAGCCTGGAGACGGAGCTGGAGGAGCGCGGTACCGGACAGCGGCAGGCGCAGCAGCGGCTGGAGCGGGCGCAGCAGGAGCTGGCCGCCGCGCAGGCACAGCGCCGCCTCCTGGAGACCCAGCTGGCCGCCGGCCGCGCCCAGGCCGGCAGTCAGGTGCGCGGCCGTTGCTGGCGTCCCCTGTCGGGCTGGCGTCACTCCCCGGCGCCGCCCTCTCTCCTCACTCTCTCCTCACTCCCGCCGCCCGCCCGTGTGCCCGCGCCGCCGGCCGTTCTGGCGCCGGACGGAGCCGTCACGCTGCCGCACTGCATGGCGCCAAAGTCCGTCCGTAGTCCGGGCTTGCGGGAAGGCTGGGGGAAAATTATTTTCCGAACTGCAATTTCAATCACTGGGGGTTGGCAGCACACATAGCAAGCTGTGCTTCGCATATAAAAGCTCTGGTACAAGCGAAAGGTGCGAAAAATTTGGAGTGCGTTTGTCATTGCATTGCCTCAGTATCGGTGCCAGGTATCGTCACCTTGTTACTCGCATTGTCCCCCTGCTGTCAGCTGTTTCACATGGCGCGCGGTCATTCGCCAGTTTGCGTGTTCCGCTTAACCATGTGCGCTTCCGCTTGACCATGTGGTGCCGCCGAGCCTGGCTTGGGCGGTCCATCGGCTGATCGTCCCGGCTGATCACTGGTCGGGTGGCAGGCGGTCCTCCCGCCGCCGATGGGTTGTGCGCCTCGCTGACCAGCCCCGCTCTCTCTCTCTCTTCCCCACATGTCAGGAGGAGGCCAACAAGAAGCGGGAGCGCGAGACCAAGGCCCTGCAGGAACGGCTGGTGCGGCTCGAGACGGCCAACACCAAGCTTCAGCTGGAGAAGGAGGTGCTCGAGGTGAGGCTGCTGGACGGACTGCGCACTGGTGTCTGGGCGGCGCTACTCACTGCAGTCCGCCGGCCGACTTGTTCGTTGAAGCCTGCGAGGCTGGCTGCACACCGAGCTGCGGGTCCGGCCGTCTCTTTGTGGTGCTGGCGTGCCGGCGCCGCGGAGATGATCAGGCAGGCAGCACACCACCCTCCATCGGCGCGTCACGACGGTGGCCCGCGCGCAGCACCGAGCCATGACCAGTGACGCCCCCCCCCCCCCCACCCCACCTCCGTCCCTTGCCCGTGTGACCCGGTGCTGGCGGCCCGCGCAGGACAAGCTGGGCATGCTGCGCAGCCAGGAGAGCCAGCAGGAGGAGGAGCGACGCGCGCTGCGCCACAGCCTGGAGACGGTGGAGGCGCGCGCTGCCCAGCAGGAGACGGCGCGGCGCGCGCAGGAGGCCGAGCTGCACCGCTGCCAGCGGCTGACGCTGGACAGTGACGCCCAGCTGCAGGTGGGTGCAGGCTCGGCCGGTCGCCGCAGATCTCTCTATGCGTGCTCAGCGTCAGCTCCGTCGCGTAGCGAAGTGAACCCGTAAGCACTTCTGGTAACCAATTGTGTTCATAAAAACACATAATGCCGGTGTACGTCCGTATGTGTGTGTGTGCGCGTTTGTGTGTGTGTGTGTGTGTGTGTGTGTGTGTGTGTGTGTGTGTGTGTGTGTGTGTGTGTGTGTGTGTGTGTGTGTGTGTGTGTTTGTGTGCGTGCGTGCGTGCGTGCGTGCGTGCGTGCGTGTGGTGCGGGTACGTTAGGTGCGTTCCTTAAAACAATGACGGTTGAGAGTAATGAATACAGTTGCCAGATAATAGGATACTCGGCTTAGCTAGTCGTACAGGATGTAGTTTCCTATTTAGACGGAGGGGAGTTAGAAGGCGGAGCGCCCCTGGCCCCTGGTACCAGAATGCAGAGCCCAGCCCACCACCATGCGTGTCACCATGAAACTCAACACCAGCCAGCGTTTTCCCCATAGCTCATGCCCCAAGGCTCAAGCCCTTGAATCCCCCACGCGAAGGAACCCCACCTACCGCTTATGCAAAGTGTAGCACTCTATACGCAATCGAAAATATGCCGGAAAAACTTGACGATCTCTAAGTTAAAGGGAGTGTTCGAAACGATGTCTAAGTGAAAGGAACTGTTCGAAATTTGAAGATTTTGAAGGAAACATGAGATATGGAATAAGCTCCCTGATACCTATTAGGTATACTCTAATTGTAGATGACTGCTCTAGACCGTCATTGTTTGGCTGCGTACTGGAACGTTTGTATGACGAGGTGCCGCCAAACTAGCCGTCCGAAATTGCCGTCGTAGCACTCTCTTATAGTATTCCAATCTCTCGAGAGGTGGCGGTGGAGGTGCTGGAAGTGTGCTGAACCAGATACCGTTGTGTGCTCGTGTTTTGGCCTTTTCTCGCGATGTTCTTGCGTAGTTATTCGTGAGTTTAAGATGTGTACTTGTATTCACATACTCGATTATGACGCCATTCTGGAGTTATTCGATTATATGTCTAGTTTCCGTAATAACTGGCTATCATGTCCAACTTTTTATATTATGTAGAATAAAACTTGATCCCCGTCGCATTCGTCCTCATCTCCCATCTTCTTTGTATCGTCGTGGTGTGTTGATTGTCTGGGGTAGGCTCCATGCGTTAGCTGCGAGTGAGCCGAGAGGTCCCGTGGGAGGGGGGCCGCAGCCGGATACTTAGCGCACATGCGAGGGTGAAAGCTTAGCGGTTGGCTCCCTCCCTCAAACGCATGCTAGTTTGCCCCACCGGCAATCATTTTTCTTTATTCTTCGCACTGCTCTGAAATGGCAATTTGTGATCGAAAGGTCTGTATTCCAAACTAGATCCGGGCCGGATTATCTTTTCATTACTCTCGCTATATCTTGAATCCTCGCGACGTCCCGCTTGTCCGAGGCAGGTGAATTGGAATGACCTATGAAATTGCAGGATTCGAATTTCGTTTCTATGGTGGTATGCATACCTGAATGACTTTGAAATAGTTTACACATCTTCGCGGCCGTGTACCTCAGAAACTAGGAGTCTTTAGGCCTTTAGAAGGGCAGGATTATGATCTGCATAGAATAATCTTCGAAGTGGCCAATTCAATTCAAAACCCCGAACAAATGTGGAACACTCCATTTAAAGGGCGAAAATTCCATGAAAGTTAGCGATTTTGTGAATGGCGTTGGCGTCAACAAAATCGTTAATCCGTTGAAAGATTATTTCAGTGATATGACGGATGAACTGTTGAAGGATGTGTGCACACCTCTGGCTTTTACCGCGCCCCGTAAATGTGTCTGCACTATCGCTCAGGATCGTTACGAGCAACAGCCCCCCCCCCCCCTCCCCCGACGGAGGCAGCATGAATAACCGAAATTAAGACTTTATCTTAAAGTTTCGAAAACAACTTTACAGGCGAAGATATTTGTCACAATATAGGAGGTGGATCAAGATCAAATAGGATTGCCTTGTGCCACTGTGCCAGGGTGTTGCTAATGGTTCCGGAAATACGGTTTGTCAAGTTTGGTACCATTACATTTGCAGAGGCCTGCACCACTTTCGAGCTCTTTTTATTCTCGCTTTACGGGCGTGCGGGCTTAAATGGGACACCTCTGGGGCGCAACAGCTGACGACTGCATAATGTGCAGAGGGCTCTGTAGCCAGTCAGCAAGATGTGAAAGGGCCTTAGCTTCCTGGCTGTAAATCCAAACGCTCATGAAGACAGTGCCACCTTCCCACATGTTGGTGCATTCCATGCTTTCGACCATATTCGTATTTGGAGTCATATCGCAGGGCGCTCGAGCTGGTCGAGCGCAACAGTGCGAGCTCCTCGCGCCCAGTGTGACAGGCGTCGCTTCGGACGCCGAGCGGCGCACCCCTGCTGGTCGTGGGCTGGTCAGGTCCCGAGCCCAATCCACTGGTCCGACAGAGGCCCACACTCCGTAGCTCCCAGCGCTGCAGGCCACTGGATCACGTCGACGGTAGCTCGTCCGCTGTCTCTGCGGCGCACGGTCCGCACGCACCTCCGTTGGCGGGCGGCCTGGCCGGTCCGCCGTCGGCGCCGTGCCCGACGGATGGCACCGGCCTGGCCGGTCCGCCGTCGACGCCGTGCCGGACGGACGACGCCGCGCCGCCCCTTCCCTCCACGTCGGCCACCGAGTCGGGCAGACCGGCGCCGTGCGTCTCCGGCAGCAGCAACGTGGCCAGACCGGCCAATAGCGTGGCGGCACCAAACACGGCTGACGGCGCGCTGGCCTGCAGCTCGCTCACCAGGTCCACCACGAACGGCGAGACGGTGGCGCCCAGCCGCAGCGCCACCTGGCACACGCCGAACCCGACAGCACGCGCGCACGTTGGCATGTACTCGGGCGAGTAAGCGAACAGTATGTTGAACGCCATGCTGACGCTGAGCTGGCCGACCAGGCCGAACGCCAGCCGCACCGGCGGATGACTGACGGCGAAGATGACGAGCATGGCGGCGGCTGAGAGGAACAAGCAGGCGGCCGTGGGCCCGCGGCGGCCCAGCCGGTCGATGATGGGGAAGTAGAGGATGCAGGGCAGGTTGAGCAGGCCGAGGAGCACGCCGGCCAGGTGCGGCTGCCGACTCAGCTGCGTCATGTCGAACGCGATGCCGAAGTACGCGCCGGCGACGACGAACCAGACGAAGGCGCTGACCAGTGTATTGCGCCGCATACGGGGCGTCCTGATCAGCTGCAGCAGCTGGCTGAGGAGCCGGCTGCAGCGGCCGCCGGTATCCGCCTCTGGCGCCGGCTTGCCAAACTGTACCCGCGTCATCATTTTCAGCACGACGTCCCGCGGCGGCATGGCGGCGCCGTTCCAGCGGGCCGCCGCCGCCAGCACGTCGTAGGCCTCGGTTGGCCGGCCGCGCATGAGCAGCCAGCGCGGCGACTCGGGCATGAGCCAGATGTTCGGCAGCAGCGCCAGACAGGGCACGGCGTAGACCAGCTGCAGGAGCCGGCGGTTACGCACGGCATAGGACAGCGCCGCCATCAGCGCCGTGCCCACCGGGAACGGCAGGAGCGTGAACGCGCTGTAGCGTGCGCGCTGGTCGATGCCGCCCAGCTCGGTGACCAGCACGTACTGGCTGCCGATCATCAAAGCCATGGCCAGCCCGCTTAGCAGCCGGCAGGCGGCGAACAGCGCGTAGCTGGTGGCCAGCGCCGACGTGAAGGCCATCAGCACGATCAGCAGCATGGCCGGCAGGAAGACGGGCCGCCGACCGAAGCGGTCCACCAGCTGGCCGGCAGCCACGGCGCCTAACAGGCCGCCCAGCATCAGCAGCGACTGCAGCAGCGACAACAGCGGCTTGCGACCGCACACCAGCGCCCACTCCGTCACCACCGTCGACTCGTACACGGACCGGTCGAACACCCAGCGTCGGCAGGCGGCGCTCGCGTTGGGTGGGTGGCAGCGCTGGGCGGCGGCCGGCAGCGAGGCGTATGTGGCGTTCGCGTCGAAGCCGTCGGCGCACTTGAACGGCGGCGTCGCGCCGATGAACATCATCGACATGGAGAAGAACGGCAGGATGAGCCACTTCAGCGACATGTAGGCCAGCAGCGCGGTCTGCCAGCGGCCGCTGCCGCACGTCTGTCGCAGGAGGTCCTCGAAGCTCTCCGTGTCGTGCTCGGCGCCGCCGTCGGGCCGGGCCGCGTCGGCTGGCTCCGCGGACGGCCGGCCCTTCTGGGCGCCACGTGTCGGCTCCATCAGGGACCGGAGCGGGGCGGAGAGAGGTCCGCCCAACTCTGCGGCAGGAAACGACGCCGTTCAGATCGTTTAAAGCAATGATGATGTTCCCACATTCATGTCATGGCACGCAGCGATTCCTCGCGTTGCAACATTTCTAAATACGGGCGCCAACTTCATGCTCGGGCGCGAGCAGAATTCAGTGCTTGGGCAATGCCGGCACGAGAACCTCCCTACAGCAGGGCAGGCAGTGGTGAATATGGTGGAGAAGACGCGTCACGCGAGTTGGCCTTCAATAGAGTCAAGGAACAATTGGTAGCCTAGTTCTGAATGATTCGAACTATGCCAGGCTACCAGAGTTTGTCGATGTGCCCTCCGATCAAGCAGCGACCTTCCGGTCAGGCCAGGCCCAGTAAATGTGAGGGCGGTTTCACGATAGTTTTGCTAAAAAAAGAGCTCGCTCCGGCAGGAGTGCTACGACATTGCTTAAACACGACACTAGGGTACGTGACAACACTTGTGCTGCAGGAACTTATCCTCGTCATTACCTCTACGGCAAAAACAGACGCAGTCATTACTTATATACGACCCTACTTCTACTGCAGAAACTTATACGCGACAACTTAAACTTATCTGATTTATCCTTACCACTATGTATCCCGTTCTTTATCCCTGTCGACGGTTTGTCCTCCCGACTTTTTCATATTCGACTTTTATCACCTTCCGCCATTTTCGCACGATTGTTTCGTTTGATTTTTGTCACTCGACTTTTATCTCCACTTGACCTGTTGTCCAGGAGCGGGAGTCAGCGACGCCTGCTTGATGTACGTATGCCGAACGCCCGCCATCCCTGCATAACGGGCGTCTGGCGTCTATGATGTCTTCCCGGCATGTCTGCCTTCTGACGTCTGGCATTCCTTCCCTTACCTTTATCATTCATTGCCTGATCTTTGTCATTCCTGGCTGGCGTCTGTCATTCCCGCCTGATATTAGTCTTGGCTGCCCGAAGCATGCTTACCTGACGTCTGTCCGCCCTGCTCGACGTTTCAATCCTGTCTGAAGCTTGTCTTCTCCTCCTGACGCCGGCATTGGGCATTGACGTCAATGATGTCATTATCAAAGCAGTTGAGTCCCACCCGTCACACTTGACCTGTGGCAAGATATTGCGCCTTGCGACCCGTGCCGCTGGCCCAGCCTCGACTGTCAGGGCGTACCGCCCTGACTTTGAGGGCTCAGCGTCCTGGGTTATACAACTTCGCTCCGTCCTTTGTCCTGGTCCGTCCAATCCAGAGGAGGCTTCTCATAGGCGCGCGGCTTCTCATACGACTTCGGTACCCAATCAAACGTACCTTCTCTGTGCCTGGACCCGCCGTTGCTTGCCCGCCCACAGTTAGCTTGCGCAGAGGCTGTTTTTTTCATAGCCAATTACTCCGAGATGAGTCCATTCCTTACGTATGACATCATGACACGGGCCCATTCCCTACTCGGCCGCGAGGCGAAGTAAATGCGTTTGTTTATAGTAAGTTGTCGGTGCTTGCACAGCAGCGCCTAGCGGCGGTTGATATGCTGTAGACGGTCCTGTATGTCCGGGAGATAGGCAGATCTTGATTGTATGTGGAAAGTGTGTTAGATAATGAGTGATTTAGCTACAGATAAATTGCCAGTAACTGTTAGTTGAATGAGTTTGTTTGCAGCCAATCATTGTTATGCAGGAACTTGCCGATTCCAGTAATTGAATTGAGCTCCCTGACAGGTCACAAGGTGGTTTGTCATGGACCTCGTCATTTGCCCGAAATAATCATCAGCGTACGAGGTAAGCCGGCAATTCATTTGCGTTTTATTTTGGACCACAGCAAATATTACGCAAGCTATCCGTTCCCGATCCCCGTACCAGCCGAACTATATCATAATCTAAAAGTGGTTCATGGTCAGGAGAAGCTGGAACGCAACGATCCAAGTATCCCGCACTAAATTGGTACATTTTGTGACAAAAATACAGCACACTTTTAATTTGCATGTGGTCGCACAATCCGCACCACGCCAGTGCTGGTTGCCCGGTCCAATGCAGTCAGACACTCTGTTCGTCGTAAACAAATGACTGGAGGTGTTCAAACCAGCGTTGAATGCACTTGGTGCATCTGATAAGCCATAAATTCAGAAGCCGGCAACTCAGAAGTTAAGCATTTCCGTTCTGTTTGACCGAAGCCCAATCACTAACCATTTGAATGTTTGGGAACAGCCAAGAACACTCAAGAGCAACTCAAGAATAAAAGGGCTCAGGGAACTCTCAACACTCAAGAACAAAAGCGCACGATTTCGGTTTACCAGAATGTTTGGTGGCAAACCAGATATCCCATGCCATGTAGTCGCAGCGCGCGTTGTTCAACAATCTCCAATGCCGACATTCCGTGTATCATCACGTTTCACCTCATGTTCACTCAACTCTGCACTGGCATAAACCATAACGCACTCCAAAAATGTTTCCGACCAGTGCGCACCATAAGCCGCTGGCATCATGAATGAAGGTGGACTTCGAGCAAAGTAAGTGATTTACCGTTTTTTTCACTCTCACGAGATTTGGCCAAACTGAATGGCTTCTAGAAGGCACAGACGCCTAAATATCACGCATGAAGCCGTTTGAAACAAATAATCCACACGTTTAGAGAGGGCGAAATGAACAAAATTTCGGATCCTTGATTTGTAACACAATCTTTTCTCTCATCAATGTCATAGTTGAAAACGCGACAAAATGCACAGCCTCACCCAATCTAATACTTTAAACGCTTCGTTCATGCACATAACCCAACTGAGGTTGCTTTATTAGCCCACCGGTTGATGAATTTGCAGTGCGGTGTTGACGGCGTCATTCCAGTGGGAAGTGGGAAGACAGCACAAGTGGGAAGACAGCACACGGAGAAATGTTCCGCAAGGACCTCGCTAAAGTCAACTCGTCCTGAGCTCCCCACCCTACCGGACTGTCGCGGTCCTCGGAGGCCTTGCCGTGATCTGTTGCGGCCGCTGGTGTAGCGCTCCAGCCGATGCCTTCCGTCCCGCGGCTGAGTCTGGCGGACTGCGTGGTGCAGCGCGCCGGCCCGAGGTCGCGGGGAGGGCGGTGTTGCGAGCCGCCCCCCGGAGTCTTCCGGGAAGGGAAGACTCTCTGACCACTCTCTCTCTCTCTCTCTCTCACTCTCTCTCTTCTATCTCTCTCTCTCTCTCTCTCTCTCTCTCTCTTCTCTCTCTCTCTCTCTCTCTCTCTCTCTCTCTCTCTCTCTCTCTCTCTCTCTCTCTCTTCTCTCTCTCTGTCTTGTCTCTGTCTCTGTCTGTCTCGTCTCTGTCTCTGTCTCTGTCTCTGTCTCTGTCTCTGTCTCTGTCTGTCTCTGTCTCTGTCTCTGTCTCTGTCTCTGTCTCTGTCTCTGTCTCTGTCTGTCTCTGTCTCTGTCTCTGGTCTCTGTCTCGTCTCTGTCTCTGTCTCTGTCTCTGTCTCTGTCTCTGTCTCTGTCTCTGTTGTCTCTGTCTCTGTCTCTTCTTGTCTCTGTTTCTGTCTCTGTCTCTGTCTCTGTCTCTGTCTCTGTCTCTGTCTCTGTCTCTGTCTCTGTCTCTGTCTCTGTCTCTGTCTCTGTCTCTGTCTATGTCTCGGTCTCTGTCTCTGTCTCTGTCTCTGTATTGTCTCTCGTCTCTGTCTCTGTCTCTGTATCTGTCTCTGTCTCTGTCTCTGTTCTGTCTCTGTCTCTGTATGTCTCTGTCTCTGTCTCTGTCTCTGTCTCTGTCTCTGTCTCTGTCTCTGTCTCTGTCTCTGTTCTGTCTATGTCTGTATCTGTCTCTGTCTCTGTCTCTGTCTCTGTCTCTGTATCTGTCTCGTCTCTGTCTCTGTCTCTGTCTCTGTCTCTGTCTCGTCTCTGTCTCTGCTCGTCTCTGTCTCTGTCTATGTTCTGTCTCTGTCTCTTCTGTCTCTGTCTCTGTCTCTGTCTCTGTCTCTGTGATGTCTCTGTCTCTGTCTCTGTCTATGTCTCTGTCTCGTCTCTGTCTCTGTCTCTGTCTCTGTCTCTGTCTCTGTCTCTGTCTCGTCTCTGTCTCTGTCTCTGTCTTGTCTCTGTCTCTGTCTGTCTCTGTCTCTGTTCTGTCTCTGTCTCTCTCTCTCTCTCTCTCTCTCTCTCTCTCTCTCTCTCTCTCTCTCTCTCTCTCTCTCTCTCTCTCTCTCTCTCTCTCTCTCTCTCTCTCTCTCTCTCACTCACTCACTCACTCACTCACGCACTCCACGCACTCTCACTCACGCACTCACTCACGCACTCACGCGCTCACGCGCTCACGCACTCACGCACTCACTCACTCACTCACCCAGTCAGTCAGTCAGTCACTCTCAACCTGGTCATCTGGAGGCCCTTATAAGGATTCACCTGACCATTTCTTGAAGCGGAAAACTCTCTGACCCAGGAAATTTCCCCCGGATGGATGCAGGGCCCTCTTTGACGCAAAACGGTCCCGTATCGCCTCAGGGAGTCAAATCATTTGGAATCCTGTCCGACTTTACGGGATACTGGCTGAAATGGGATGGAGAGCCCCTGACTGACACTGGGCCCTTCCACTGTCTCATTGCGACCTCTGTCATAAGTTTGCATGCATCCTTTGGGTGTCCAGGACCCTGGCCACAGCGAGGGACCCCCTGGCATTCAGGGCCCCGTCTGTGTCCCTGCTCAGCAAATGTTCCTTCGTCTGACCCTGGGCTCCTTACAGACACAGACTCCCTGTTTGGCACTTTTGGTATTTTGGGCCCCTGGCCGACACAAGTGTCCCTGATTATTTCAGGGGCTCCGACGAATGCAAATATTGGACAACGACCTTGTCACTACTTGGGAGAGCAGGGACAAGGCCGGGCCCTGCTTGGGTCCCCAGGGCCTAGACGGACACTTTTCGGTACTGGTGTTAAGTACCGACTGTTTGGTACTGGTGGTGCCTAACCGACAAAGAATGCCCTCATCAATTCAGGGGGGCCCCCGATCGGCGTAAAGGCCTCCCTGGCCGAAATTTGCGGCCCCGGCGCTGCGGGCTGGACCTTTTCTTACCACCTCCAGATAACCTTTCTGGCCCCTGATCGTAAGTCCGGACGAGCCGGATGTTGGGGGGTGGGGGTACAGCTGGTGGCTCCATTGCAGATGTCATCGGAACAAATGCCCCATAGCAGCCATATGGCCGTGGTATTGATCGCGAGTTCTAGAAAGAAAGCTGTCAGAAAAGGGATAGACACATTTGGTACGCAAAAGCCCAGAAAAGGGTTATGAATTAAATGTCCGCACACAAATGCCTCCGGCGAAATGTTCGAACGTCCCCGGGACGGTCGAAGGGCTTCAGGAACTGTGCATGACTGCAGGCTGTAAGCTGCAGCCTGCAGCCAGCCAGTGGCAGGG